ATTGTAGAAATAATCAATCATACATGTGAGATATATGCAGAAATAATCAGTCTAAAATATCTACATGTATATCTTATCAATGGGCATTGGTCTTGGAGCGTCATCAGAATGGCTTCTAAAAAGTGGATAAAAGGCCTACTGCTTGGAAGAAGATGACTTAGAGTAACTTCAAATGAATGTATGAATAGAGTAAAAACAAGGAAGAGAAGAGAAAATACCACTTCCTTGGATATTCCTGGATGTTCCTTATTCTGTGGAGACTGATTTCCAGTTTCAGTTTGCATTTTTAGATGTAAACCAGCTTCAGTTGGTTGCCACTGACTCAAGTTTTGAAGGCAGAAATCTTTGCTTTTTGGGCTCCTAAGCAATCTTTTTCTTTGCTTGCCTTTGACAAAAATGAAAACAGAATCTCTTTACTGTTAGAGGCAAATATTTTGACCTAGTCCTTTCTGTGATAAAAAAGCTTCAAACCTAAGGGCTGGGGTAGGAATCAGAGGTATTCATGAACATCTGCTACTGAGCTCATATGATCATATGACTGTTATGACAGACTGGGAGAGGTAATAATGGTTTTTTCCCTTAAAAATAAAACACAGCATCCAAACAAAACTCCAAAGCTTGTTAAAAGTCCTTCTACATCCATTTTTGATTTATTAGTAAACAGTTTATAAGTTTATAAGTAAACAGTTTATAAGAAATATAATTGCTTCTATTTCTTTCTGATTTTATCCCTTTGCGACCTTTAATTGATTCCAAAGCAAGCTGAATCTCCTTTTGAGTTCATGACCTACTAAGACCTCTTCCTCCAGCAGTTACAGAAAAATTGAAAACATAGGAGTTTTCATGAGTCAATTCTGCATTGTATCCCCCTGGAAAAACATTACACCTCCATCTTATGTTTTTCCCTAGAGCAGTTCTAGAGGAGTTGCAATATGTTGTTGTTGTTGTGTTTCTCCCTACATTCTGGACAGCATTAATACCACATACAGAGTATGGTAGTCAGATTTCTCTTCAGTCCTCCTTACTTCATGACTCAGTTTGAGTTCAGAGAAAGCTGGTTGGGTTTTTTTTTCATATATCCTTTTATAGAAGAGTACTTGAATATTACTTTAGATTCTTTTCTGGTTAGTGGCACTAAAACCTTGGCATACTTTCTCAACCTTGTGAGAGTGCTTTTCTCTGAGGAAAGTCAGATTGCTTTGCCATTACTTGCCCACATAATATGATGTGTGTGTACGCACAAGAAAATGAACTAAAATATAATTTCCATTATGCTTGAGATATAGACAGCTTTTATCACTGTAAGGGTTTGCATTATTACAGAGAATTACAGAGATATTTTAATTTCTACTAATACTTGCAGACAATCATGCTAATAGATCAAAGATGTAGTAATATTGTAAATCTGTACATTGCCACTCTACTACTTAAGGTGTAAAATAACCTCTTTTTTGAATATGCTGTAATTTTCACTTCTGGGCTCTTGAAACTGCAGGGAAACTTCTGGATACAGCTTGAAATAGGTTGAGAATCTGCCACAGGTAATAGATCAATTCCACACACTATTGTTGTAAATTAAGGCAATGACTGTCCAGATATGACATTTTCTTCTTTCTTTTCTTTTTATAACCATACTATATCTACTCAGTTTGACAGCTAGGGTAAAGGTGTAGGTAATTTATTAAATTTAAGATGCTTTTAATAGACAGTGTAGGACTTGCAGTTCATTACTATTTACTTCTATGAAAGGGAAAATGTAGGCAGGTTGAAAAGAAAAAGAATGTACTCTAGGTAAGAAGGAGACTTTGTCAGTTTGTAGTTAAAATAAATCTGATTTTTTCTGTTGTGCATTTTCCCACATAAACTTTAGTATTTTCTTTACCTAAAATTTATACCATCCTTTAATATTGAATCAATGTGTCCAAGCAGATTTTTTTTTCAAGTCTTGTGGTTTTCCTTATGAAAGGATGAATATTTCAAATCTTGTGCAAATCACTCTTGTCAAGATTAGAAGTGTCTTGTCAAGAGTGGGAAACTGTTTGTCTTCCTCATTTTAGGTAATTTAAAATGTGTTTGTGAAATTATGAACACTTTACATTATATAACATTAAATTTATTTTATAAAAATATTTGTGTTTCTGTATAAATGTGCTTATAATACAGACAATGAATCAGCTTCCTGTTCCACAGCTTCCATTGCAGAGGACACAAGAAGATCTTAAGTAGGTTATTGGCACAGACACTCCGCCAGTTCAGTATGTGACATAGTCAGTGAACCCCATTTCCTGCACTTGAAAAATATTTGATTATTAAATTGTGTCCAGTGAAGGGAGGGAAATCAGAGGGCAATTCTGTACTCTGTGTGCTCTCTAGAGAAAATGATGCCATTATCTGACTGTGGTAAATAAAGTTTTGTATATAGGAGATTATGAGTGTCATCTGTGTAATGTGTGGTGACTATTTAATGTTCAGTGCCTTCTACCATAGTACTCAGTTCTTCTTGTGGATTTTCTTACAGTTACCAAAATTAACCCTTAATGAAGAAATTAATTAGAATATATGAAGATAAGAACTATAGGATTTCATGCATCTTCTGTTTCTCTTTAACAAAGATGTAACAATTTTAGCACAAGTCAATCACCAATAGCTCAGATTTCTTCAGACGTATCTTCCCTCTTGTTTAATAAAAGATTTTTTTCAAATAAAAAATTGAATTTATTGCAGTGTTGACTAGATTTTTGGCAAAATTATTTTTAGTGCACAAGAAGGGAAATTTACTTTTTAATTTGAATTTTGTTAACTCAGTTTTTCCTCTGTTTTTCAGTCATATTTGGGGGAAGAGTAGGAATTGCATTATGATTACTTCCTTTTCTTATCACTTTAGAATAAAAATAATAACTAAAATCTCATCAGAATAAAAATAACTTGACCTAGAATCTTGGAGGAGAGAGAGAAACAAGAATTTCTCTTCACTAATATGAAATATTGCTCTTGGATTTAATCTTCATTCATTTTAAATCTTAAATTCTTAATTTTAATGACAAACAAACAAACCCCAAAACACAGAAGATGGATAATCTACCCAGTATATTTAATGTTAATGACTGTTTTGTTAAACTTCGATTGAGCAGTAAGGCAGCCAAACAGAGCTTAGTACAAGTGAATATAGTGAATATATAATTTAATACACACAAAGGTTCACTGATGGTTTTATTTAATGGAACATAGGATTTCGAGAATTGTAGGACTGCACACATAAATGTATTTAGATAATGTGTCATCAAAATTTTCCAATATATTAACCATGCTTTGAGAAAACAAATATTGCAGATGCAAACCAATATTAGTATTGATACAGGGTTTTCTGCTAGTTGAGATTCATCATTAAAACTGATAACTTTGAGCAGACTGCCTTGATCATCTACAGCAGATGTACAAATTTTATTTGTGTTTTCTTAAAGTTTTGCCTGCAAACAAACAAGTGTAATTTAGGTGTCATGATGATTTGATGTCCCTACCTAGTCCATTCCTGGAAATATTGTCAGCAGCTTGTGTTATCATACAGTTCATCAATTTTGTGTAGTTAAATACTATCTCATGATGGGTTCACCCTCAGTCTAAAGAGGCAAAGTTGAGGGATGTTAATTGGGTATGTGTAATCTGTTAATGCCACAATGACAAGTTATTTTTAATGATATTGATTCCACAAAGTAGTGGAATTCCAAAGTAGTTCTCAAAATATATTTCATCACCACAGCAAGAGTAATTTTGTATAGTTGTAGGAAGGAAGTATAATAAAGGTGAAAATGCTGTCATTATGTGTTCATCATTTTGTGCAGAATTCCACTTGAATCAACTTGACTGCTACTTTCTCAAGATGCCATATTAGAATCTTTGAAACCTACTGATACATTTGTTTCTTAAATATGAAAATAAAACTCTCTCTGGAATAGCAGGCTAATTAAAGTTCCTGAATAAAATCTGTTAAAATGCTCTGAATGCAGTTAAGAAGAGTTAATGAGCAAAGCACTACTTAAAAAAAATGGGGAGAAGGTCAAAGTTTGTTTAGTAGATCTTTTTCCTTTGATTTGAAGACTTCATTTCCAGTTTTGATATGATTTTGCTGTACAAAGATTGGAGTTATGAAGCTGCTGAGGTCAGAAGGTGAAGTAAAACAAGGGAAGTTGAGGATAAAAACTTTTTGGGCCTCCAAGGAAGAAAAAGTGCTTTACTGCCAAATACTTTTGCATGGGAAAGTGATTTCTTACTAGGTCGCTTGCACAAGATGAATCTAATTTTCTAATTTCCTTCCACCTCGTCTTTGTAAATAACATATCTATCTATCTATCTATCTATCTATCTATCTATCTATCTATCTATCTATTTATCTATCATCTATCTATCTATCCATCTATTTATCATCTGTCTATATGCACACATGTGTATATGCATAAATGCTTTGCATACATTAAATACAAGTTCATGAAATACAAAAAACTAAAATTGTGTGTCCAGTTCTTACACAGTAAGTCACCTGTAAACTTCGAGATCAGAACACCAAACTTAAATAGTTCTTATCCATTGATTTGATATCTACACAAAGGACAGCATTAGAGGTTTCTTGTTGTTTGTTGTTTTTGTAACCTGATGGTGAGAACTCACAGATCTTCTGAAAGAAACACAGGAACTTGAGGTAGGCTTTTCTTTTCCTGCCAGATCTATTTCTGTTGTCCTGAGGGAAAATAAGGAACAGATAGCTGATAACTTGCCACCTTGACTAATTGCTTATTGCATTTTTCTCCGTATTGCATATATAATGTTTTGTAATAATTATTTTTTCTTTCCTTCAATACTTACTAAATCTCTTGCAAATGGCTCTTCAGCATAAGTGAAGAGTGCATCAGTAAGATGGCATTTGAGATAAAGCTTTTTACCTTTAGCAGTACGTTTGCTTGACAAAATATGTGAGTTGATCTATTGATTTATTTTTTTAAATTTAGGCAATTACACTTCTAACTGAGCTAATCAGAGAGAACTTCAGAAACAGCAAATTGAAGCAATGCTTTCTACCAGCACTTGGGGAGCTGCTTTACCTCATAGCCAGCAAGGTAAGACTGCAAGTGATCCTTACAAATTTGGCAAATGGGAAAAAATTTCCCACGGAAAACTAAACCAAAAAATCAAATTACTTAGTCATTTGTATAGTCAACAGTTTCTCAGTTTCTTGTCCTGTCTTCTATAATACTTATTCCACATTAAGAAACATACTAATCCAATAATTTACTTCGTCTGAGATTAATTAAACAGCATTCTTCAAGTGTAGAATTTTAACTTCATAAAAGGTTTTAATCAACCACTGCTGGCATCCAAGTGGCAAATCTAAGAGTTCAAACATCTAAGCTAGAGATTTTGATTAAACAGGATGTATGAGGACAGTCTATGATATCAATAAATTAATATATTAGTGTATCTATATGTATAGGCCATATTAAATCTTATTGTAGCATGGTTGGATTCCCAGCACAGTGGAAAAGGAAATGAAATTATCCTGACTAATTTCAAATGGACGTGTGTTTATTCCTGATTAAAATTGATTTAAACCTTCTGTCTAGAAATAGTAGATTTGCATTAAAAGTAATCAGAGCTTATTTGTAGAAAAGAAATGCTGTCAATATTAAGAATTGTAGTTGACAGATACTTTAAACCATCACATTTGTTTTCCGTATTCTAAGAATAAAATACTCTTACTTAACAGAAACAAAAGTGTGTTCAAGCAGAAAAAGTCTAACCTTGGTTTCTCTGAAGCCTTTGTATTATCTACATCATCTAATAGCTCTGAATGCTGACATGTTAGTTTAGCAAGGCAGTTGGTAATGGAGCAAAAGTGGCAAATGAATCATTACTTTGGCTTTAGTTATGGCTTTCTGCTGAATTTCTAGGTTTTATTTTCTTTATCCTCTGGGTCCTTTGCATGTTCCACAAAATGTAGTGGTTGCCTTGGTTTTTGTAGAAAAACAAGCATTGTCCTATTTTTGTTGGACAAGTGCCAAAGTATTTGTCAAATACATGCTCACAGAACTTAAAATTTGAAATTAGGTTCTGAAAACTGCACCCACAGTCACAGTTTATATGTTTTAATACTTGCTTGGTTTCCTCAGGAGGAAAGATTTGTACCTGCTATCATCAAACAAATGAACTTAAAATTCTAAATTGAAAATTATATTTGGTAGGATTATTTTGCATGGCTTGATTGTATTTTGAGATTAAACTCTGATAGCTTAAACAATTCTGTTAACGCTGGTTGTATAACACCAGACTGATTTGCACAGATTATTTTCCATCTGAAAATGTGACCTGATAAATTTTTCAGTCTGTGTATGAATTTCACAATATTTGAAGCATTACAACTTGCATATAAGTGGCAACTCTGTCACGTTTCAAGGCTGGTTAAATACACACACACACACACAAATATTAATGGGTTGCATTATGTTGTAGCTAAGAAATTAATAGAGTGTAGGAACAAATATTTGGACACATATGAGCTCAAGACACTATGTCTTGGTAAAATTTCAAAAATATCAGTGTCATTTGCATGTTTGGAAATACTAACCATACAGGTTTTTTTAAGAAAATCACTTTCCATTTTTCTATTCTATATGTATTTAGCTTCAGAATACTGTAGTGTTGTAGGCACTTTGTTGCTTATTAAACTGCTGAACAGTAGTGCTGAATGACCTTGCCAAGATCATATAGCAAGTCAAGGGTAATATAATAAATGAAACAAATAATGTATTGCCAAGTTATATCTTTAAACAGCAAAACCTTATGGCTTGACTAATAAAGAAAAATAAATCATAACTGCATCAAATTAATTAAGGACTATACACTTGGTTTTTTTGTTTCCATCCATTTTGTGCTTTCTTTGGCCTGCTTTATTGTTTTATCAAACTCCTAAATATTTTCATTTAAGCTGTAAGTTTTTGAGGGAGTGGCCGATTTTATTTATTCCCTTTGGGGTTTTGTGAAGTGTTTCTAGATCTAGCCACAATTTTTATATGAAATAATAGTAAAGATTTTTTTTTTTTCATGTGAACATTTGGTAAATCAAAAATTATCAAATACTTCAAATCAAGTTCAGCTGTTTAGGTGCAGGATGATTAATGAGATAAAATACAGGATCACTGTTTGCACTTCTATTGCTTAGAAAATACTGGGAAATGTCCAGGTAATCGTAATGGTCCTGTGCAATCCTAAATTCCGATATTGTGTGTGTACTTGCTTATGAGATCTCATGAGTAAGATCTTACACTCCATCTCTGCATTTTTATTCCAAACAGAAGCCAAGAGCATTTCAAAAGTAGCATGAGCAGACTCCAGGGAGCATGTTCTCATACTCTTGAGTAGATTGCCTTGGGGGAAAACTTTCAAGTTCTATGTAATATTTCTATTAATTTTGTGTTGTTTGTGTTATTAGGATGCAGAACCTAAAATTTAATCAAAATCAACATGGGCTGTGAGCAAAAAGTAGGAAGATTCCCCACTGTTTGGTGATATATTTAAGTTTATTAAGTTTCAAATGCTGTACGTTATGTTTATGTAATTAAGAACGGTACTAAGGTTCATACTCCTTTTGCCTTTTAAAATTTCTAAATAGAGATTAAACCTTGCAGAAAGTCTTTAATCAGTTTGAAGAATGTAAGAACTATTAATGTTTTAGGATTGCGCAATTTCTTAGGGCTTTTTGTTTTAACATTTAATATGTATGGTTATAAAAGACTTTGAAAGAATTTCTGGTTAAATTAGGTGAATACAATGAGAAATAGACTCATGCCAGTTCCACCATAGACTGTCATTTTAACTCTGTTTTGACTCGTAGTCATGTCCTGCCTCTTCCAGGTAGAAAAGATTCTGTGTTTGCCTATTTGAAAGTAACCTACCTTTACTTTCTTGAAACTTGGGCTGTGTTTTCTTAAACTTACACAAAACGTCTTGGAAGGCAAATGGTGATTACTTGTCAGCACGTTCTTACTCAGATAAGATGGAGGAGATGGAATGAAGTGGATTTGATGTGTCTGTTTGATGTCCAGCCACTCTTTTTATTACTGTTTATATTGTCCCATATGTCCTAATACAAAGCTATCAGAAAAAAAGCTTACAAATGGGATATTTAACAGACTCATTTCCGCTATGGCTATATGTGGCAAATAAAGTTTTGTTTTCAATAAAGAAAGAAAATTAATTTTACTAGACAATTCTGTAATAGTTATCCCTGCTAATGTGCCATGCTTTAATTAAAGGCCTGAAATGCTCATATCATATATGTTGAATTGTACTGTAAGCCATGCAGAAATCAGCAAATCTAGAAAGTATTGTTTATTTCTGCATCATTAACCCCCACTTTGCCTATCGTGTCCCTTTTATTAAAACCAGTTTATTAGAATGCTAAACATAATTTGATAATATAATTAAAAGAGTTCAAGAATTGTGTAATTTCTGAAGAAATTACTGTTTGTCATCCTTCGTCTACTTACTAAAACAAGTTTCTCATGATTTCATGGCCTGTCATCTTCACACCATCTAATGCCTACTATTTCTCACTTTCTTTCCCAAAAGAGGCTATATTTTTTCCTCTTTCTAATAGCTCTGTGTTACTAGCCTGAATATGGAAGTTGTTGCAGTTAAATCTCAGTGATATCCAAGTGTCCCCTTTTAAATTTAAAATGTTACAATAGGCTATTGCAGGGACAGAGGAATGTGAAGTTCACTTGTAATGGAAGAATTAAGCCCTTATTCAGCTAGTGGTGAATTAGCCTAACAGGGTGATTTCAACGAAATATGCAGTAAGATCTTGAAGCAGTGTTCAAATGTATGAAGGCTATACTATACAGTAGATTTTCTTAAACACTTGGTATCTCTTTATATGTCTGAGCATTTTTTTCAAAACAAAGTCGATTTTTTTCTTTTTACCTACCAAAAAAAAAAAAAATTATTTTAAAGACAAGCATTTCTACTCTTAATAAGTCAGTTATCTCTCTGAAGTACTCAAAATGGTTGAGAGGAATGAAAGAACAGGCTTTTTTTTGTGTCTGTGTGAATTAGAATGAATTTATGAAATTCAGAAATATTAGGACAAACTCTGTTATGGATTCTGGATATTACTTAAATAAGCTAATAAAGTAGCAATCTCTGTGCTGCACATGAAATAGTAACAATGTCCTGAAATTTAATATATTTGATTGCATATGTTAATCTGAAATGTGTATAATATGAACCTTATTAAGAACATGCTACCCATTTTTTATGTGACTGGGATTGTTGTGATTTTTTGATCTAATCAGTTGTGCCATTGGCTTCATTTCAGGAGGAAAAAGGGGAGTACCCCAGGGAATGCTGGGCTGTTCCCTCAGCTGCTTACACTGTGCTAATGAGATGTCTTCGGGAAGGGGTAAGACTTTTTTTATGGTCCTCAGTAGAATTTCTCCACAGTAATAACCCTTTAGGCATTGTGTGAGGATTGTAGCCTGCAGCATTGCAGTACCTTGTCAACCAAGCGTCGCTCTTGAATTTAAATAATCATAAGACCATGACCTAAGCAGGAGATTAATGCAGTGTTGTTCTCTGTACATTCAACATTTACGTATTGCTGCTTGTGCTGGGGGAAATGGGATAGTAAATATAAATTACTGTTAATAAATGGGAAATTTATTAATGATGTAGTCATCTTTTGAGAAATGTTCTGACAGTTTGTGCTGTCCTCTTGCAATTTGATTTTCCTACATCTTTGTAAATCTTTGAGCATGATTTAAGTTTCTGTCTTGAAGTGGTTGATACACAGTTTTTTAAAACTGCATTGTTATCCTACTGACTTGTCAGCATTCTTTTGAGGCAAAAAAGTAGTAATTAGGTTTATTGTCATACATGTGCTTTACTATGTTCTTCATTGTTTTTGGTGATGGCTTAGCTGTGCTAGAAGAAGGGAAGAAAAATATGCATATAGTTCCATTTCGAAAATGAAAAAGAATTGAGTGGAGGGTTTGCATTCACTGTTTGTATGAGACCACTTTATTTTTGCCCAAGGCAAAGCTCAAGGCAGAAAACATGTCAGAGGTTGCTAGAAGTTGGAAAGCAAGAGGAAATACCTTTTTTCCTTTCTTTTTGAGCTCTTTATTGCCTACAGATTGTGACTAATAAAGGAAGAGCCTAGATGCATTTTAATATCTTTAAACCTTCACGTGACCAAGAACACAGAACTGAGTTTGTATTGTGGACGATTTCCAGCTCATAATTAGAGTAAGATGTCACTCTAATGCACAGCAGTGAAATGCTATTTAATTGTAAATTTAGTACTAGAAGACCTGCTGTTTCTGAATATACAGTGTGTGGAAACTAAATCAAGACATCCGTAAGACACTAATTTATTCCTATAAAATAAAATAATTTCTTAGTCCTGAAACATGTCAAAATTTTCATAATAACTTATCTTGATATACTTTTTTTTGAAAAAATGACACAAAATAAAAGTACATTTGTCATGCTATAGTTCAAATTAAATTTAATTAAGCATAAATTTTAAATAATGTGTAGGCTAGCTAACTACATCTGTGCACTTCTATGCTTTCTGTTTGTGAGGATGCTCATTTTTAATGAAGATATATATATTTTTAAAACATATTTGAAGCTTTAAAACTATACAAGACTTAAGGAACTCTGGAAGTCATCTAATCCAACCTCCTGTTCACAGTAGGTCTAAATAGATCAGGTTGCTCAGGAACATGTCTATTTAAGTCTTGAATGTCTCTACTAGCTATATTAGAGCTCTAATAGCGCTAATATTCTATAGCTATAATAGCTATAGAATGTCTCTATAGCTTGAATGTCTCTAATAGCTCTGTCAGCAATGCCTGCACCTCCTTCACAGAAAAAAGTTTTTAAATGTTTATGATTGGAGTTTTCACTCCTGGCCATTGCCTCTTGTCCTGCAGCTATGCAGCTCTGAACATGCTTGCCACTGGCTTTTCTTTATTACAAGTATGTAAGCTTTTCATTCTTATATTAATAATTAAAAAAATACATAATTACATAATAAATTACTTGTAATTGTTCTAAGCCCAGTTGTGAGTTAAGTAAATTTTACATCATGATGTTTTTCTGAAGTGATTAGGGGCATATTCTCTCAGTGTTTATAAAAATGTCAAACTAACATTTTGTAATAAGATCTGAAATACCACAGTGTGTTATAAATACTCACTTCTAGTTTTAATTTCCAGTTAGGAAGTTTTATTTGATATATTTAATAAAAATTCAAGAAAATAAAACCAGTTCATGTAATTCAGTACTATGGTGTATATATAGTTTTGAGTTTTTAAGCTAAGTTCAATGTTCTTGAGTTTTATTATGAAATACTCTGAAGTGTTCTTGGACTTCTGAAGTTTTATAAGATTTGTCATTATCAAAGCAGAATTGCCCTCTAAAACAGAACAGTAGAACAGGAAGAAGTTTGAAATATGTGTGTGTCCCTTTTATTTGCCTATAAAGGAACAAAATGTTCAGAAAATTCAGGTAGTGTCATTTCCAATACCTTCTGTGCCTGAAACATCTAACAGTGACAAAAAAAGTGTATGGGTCAGTGAAAGGAGTTTTAGGGTGATAGAAGTAGAGGATTGAGAAAGCCTTTTATCTGTAGGGGAACACAAGTTCAGATTTCCTGCATTTCAGTGTTTTTAACTTGAGATAGAAGCTGATTTTCGACTTGGGCAACAGTTGAGTTCTATTATGTGTCAAAATAAGGGAATTGGTACACTCATAAATAAGTAGATGATAGGCTTGATTTGACGTGTTTAATCTTGGTATGATGTTGTGGACTGTCAGAATGGATGTAGTAAACATTCCAATGTTTATTTGCTAATCTTTTCCAACAACTGTTTCCAACAGTGAAACAAAATGCCTGTTCCAGGCATCTGTATTTGTTTAAGTTCAATCTCTAAATGTTTGTGTGCAATCTCTAAGATAGGAAGGTCCTGATTTCTCCTGCAAAAGTGTCTAGCTGTTAGAGTTCCTATATTATCCAGTCATGGAAGATACTTTCTGTTTCAGAATGGATATTCGTATTTAATATTGAGTACCTAATAGTAATGTGAAAACCATTTTTCTTTGATGTATTTTGCTTCATTTATTCAAAACTGCTTCATTTGTTCAAAACCCTGTCTGTACATCCAGGGTTGTCCCAACCCAGGTGCAGAATCTGAGACTTGCCCTTCTTAAACTTCATCTGGTTGGTGATTGCCCAGACCTCTTAATTTGTTGAGGTCTCTCTGCAGGGCCTCTCTCCCTTCAACGGGGTCAACAGCTGCTCGCAACTTAGTTCCATCTGTAAACTTACTTTAAAAGGATCATACAATATTTTATCCTAACTTCTAATAAAATGAAGTTATACTATTTTTGGTAGTATGTTAGTTAGCATAGAGACTGTAACTTCAGTGCTTCCAAAATGTTTGCTGCACTGTTAAATTTATAACAGTCAATAAAAATATCCAATAGATTCAGTTATTTCAAAAACATGTAAGTAGATTTTTTTATTATGTTGATTCTCACTACCCCCTCCCCGCAATTAAAATGTAAAGACTTGATTAAAATGAGTTTTCTTTCAGTAATTTGCAACTTTTTATCCTTCTGGTATTAGTATTTTAATTCAGGGCTGTTTTTCATTTAGCATCCCTGACTTCACTGGAAACAGATATATCTGGAAGTGTTCAACGTGACTGAAAATTAGGAGCTCTAAGTTGAAGAAAGAAATAAATTAGATATTATGATGAATTATTTGTGAAGCCAGACTATAAGGACAAATTGAATTATAAAAATTATGTTAAAATTAATTCTTGCTGAATTCAAGATGCTATTAAAGACATTGTTGAAAGACTTCACTTTTTTTGTAGTTCAAGACTGAGATGAGGTGAGGCAATGCACAGCCAAAATAACACCAGAGATGTATCTTCCAGTTCTGTTAAAGACTCTGATTTTAAGTGAAAATTATTTGGTTAGTACTAAAAACATGAAGGATTCAGAATCTCATGGAAATTTAGGCCTTCTTGTAGTCAATGAGACCTAATAATTTATCTTAAGCTTTGCTCAAGATTGTCTGCTTAGAAGGGAGTTATGGAACAACTTAATTTGCAAGAAGTATTTATTCAGAAGAGTCAACAAATCCTAGGATAAAGACAAAGAGGGTTTAATGTAAATTTTTTTTCCTAATATAACTGAATATCTCATATCTGTCTATTCAGGGCATGTTCTAATAATGAGTGTTAACACAAATTCGTTCATTTATAAAGCACTGATCATGGAACACCTCTAACATAACAAAAGCTTTTCATTTATAATGACTACATTTAATTTGGGGTGATTATTTGGAGATGAAAAGTTTTGTATTAAATAGTCTTTGCAGTAGAAGAGAAAGTGGGGGATATAGGATCTGTGAATGTAGCTTTGTCATCAGGTGAGGTTTCTTGAAAATTTACTTTTGCAATTATCAAAAATAATTAAGAAACCAAACCAAGACAGTATACATTGAATAAAATGTGGACATAGGCAGTAATTTACAAAGAAATTAGAAACATTTGCAAATGTGCTTTCCTCCTTCTCCTTCGTACAGGAAGAACGGGTAGTGAACCATATAGCAGCAAAGATAATTGAAAATGTTTGTACTACTCGTTCATGCCATGCACAAGGATTTATTACAGGAGAAATTGGACCTGTCTTGTGGCACCTTTTCACACATTCTACAGGAGATTCTTTGAAGATAATTCCTATTTCGGTAAGGAATTTCATTTGTGATCGTGTAATGCTTTGGTGTTTAGGCTGAAAAACCTTCCTAATTGGAACTGAAATATATTTGAGCACGTTTGCTCTATGTTTGTGTTTTTCATATTTCAGACTATATTAAAATGTATTTGAAAAATTTCTGAAATTGAAAAATGCTTTTATTGCAGTTCAGTGGTTATGAATAGTTCTTGTGATTCATCATTTTCCAGAACATATATTTCCTTATGCTGCTAATAATGAGTTATGTTTAAAAAGTTTAACTTTTCAAAGAATCTATTAAATTCTTGCAGAATTGAAATTTCTTTTTCAATGATGATTCAAATGAGAATTGTTTATTCTCTTTATCAAAGACTTGTTTAGAAGACTTAGTTTAATTAATCAAATTTCTTTTATAAAATTGTTAGGGCCTAGTCTTTGCCTTGAATTTTTAAGGCAATATAGGACGATAACAAGACAAATGACATGCAGGCAGAAGGTTTGAAACAAAAGGATTTATGAGGTAGAAAATACTTAGCAGGACTGTGAGTTTAACCCTATCTCTTGGACTTTTTACCAGAGTGTGTAGTGACAGGACATGGGGGGATAGATTCAAACTGAAAGGAAGTAGGTTTAGATTAGATATTGGAAAAAAATTCTTTATTGTGAGTATGGTGAGGCATTGGCACAGGTTCCCCAGAAAGGTTGTGGCTGCCCCATTCCCTGGCAGTGTTCACAGTCAGGTTGGATGAAGCTCTTGCTTTCTGAATGAAAAATGGTAGTGTCACAGCTGCAACATTATGCACATATACACATCTAGCATAATGGCAATAAAAGAGAGAGAAATAAAACTTCATTTGAAATATGGCTGAAGAGGTAAGTGATATAATAAATGTATAATTAAAAAAAATACATCTATTTATTGATTTTTTTATCTTAGTGTATATTTGTGGCATTCTTACCTGTGATATAAACAGCTCAAATATTGGGAAAATGTCTTGACATTTTAGAACAGGAAACCTATTTAGTAAAATAAAAACCTTTGCCCTGTAGCATCTGAAATTCTTGGCAAAAACAGTCTTAGAATTTTCATGGGTACAGAACAGTCTGTCTCTAAATATGTAAAGTATATGTGTGAGTCTGGCCATTTGGCTGCTTTTTTAGAAAGGGTCTTTTTGAAACTTCACCCATTTGTTCTGTGAATTTTATGCATGTATAGGAAAAGACTGGAGATAAGAGTTATAACTTCCTTTACTTACTGAGTTTTTAAAGTAGCCTGCTCGATCCTCTCTTCTATCACTTCTTTTGCTGTAAGGGTACCATGTACTTTCTAAAGGTATCATGTACTTTCTATTCTTGCCAATGATTAGACTGGGCAGTTGTTATTTGTTTGCTACTAGTTCATAGTATTTTTTTTTCTCATCTCTTTCAACTCCTGATGAAAGTTCCCTCTTGTTTCTCTGCTATCTGCTTGGAGAACTTTGCTTCGTCATTTACCATTGCCTTGATTCCTACAGCAGGCTCCCAGAGCCTGCTCCATTTGTATGGCCCAGTTGGCCAGTTATGCCTGTCTTGTGTACCACAGCAAACAGCATATTGTGGAGAACCTGGCTGTCTCAATGGCATTCAGACACTGAGCTAAAAGAGATCACAGGAGGAACTATCAGTGGGCCTTTTCTTCATTTTTTCCTTTCCCCTCCTGAAAACTCAATTTCTTCTTGGACAATACAAGCATGCTTGAGGTGGGCATAGCTTTTTTCCCTGCTCAATAATATACAGACATTACATATCTGATTGTCAAGAATAAATTTGTCATCAGTGGAGATTCACTATGGCTTTCTGTAGCAATGGACTCAGAGGTTACTGTCATCAATTCCATATGGTTTGCTCACCTTGCGCTTGGATGAGTGTCAGGAGACTATGAGAGGAGTGGGTTGTTGTTTGTCCCTCTGTATACCCTTTGCTTCTTTTGGGAACCCAGGTCATTGGATCCTCCCAAGGCTGTAAGGTTCAGGTGAATCACTAAGAAGCCTTTTCTTTGTCATAGTGTTTGTGCTATGGGTATCTAGCCTCTTTTAAGTACTACTGATGAGAATAAAATTTTCCTGCTGGAAAAACTGGGTGAAAAAAAATTTTTAAAAGGAAGCTAAAACCTGAAGAGCTTATTGTAGCCTAGTTTGCTTCCTTTTTTATTTTTTTTTTTTCTCTTTGTGTCCATTGATAGCTACCACCATGTACTAGTCAGTGAGGCTCTGGTGTTTGTGTAATCTCTTCCAAGTGAGTAGACTGTGAGTTCCTCAGTTCCTTTGCCTCTTGCTCCTGTAGGTGTGACACAGCAGCCTGATCTTTATGGGTTTCTTGTTCAGCTAGGCCTGTTAAGTGCAGTGAGTTTTAATACAATATTTATACTCCAAAGGTGAATCATCTGGAAGTCATGGGTTGACGCTGGGACTTGGAATGACATTGGTTTTGCCAAGTTCTTACTTCCTGGTTCTTTTTCTTGTATTTGAAATCATTGTATTATAAAACTTACTAGTCTTCAGAAGCTACTTTAGAAGCCTTCTTACAGATGACATGTTAGGATGAAGCAGTGTGTTTGAGGAGGTCATGATAGCTGCAATTAGCAGAACTTCCTAGAAAAACTCGGCTGATTTGTGGGACATCCTTTCAATGGCAATTGACAATCTAAGTAAGAAAGATGTTTTTTATCATTCTGTTACCTTTTCTTTCTCAAAATTGCTTAGCAATGTGTGCTTGGATGTTGAGGCCAGCATTTTAAAAAGATAGCCAAGTTGAGTGTGCACACTGACATCTGCTAAGATAAAAATTTCTTCAACATTTTTTGCATATCTGTGATATCAATGTACATATGGACAATAGAAACAAAACCATAACTGTTACCAACTACTGTTTATTTCCTGTGAAGGCAATAGGCTTACTGGAGCTCATACTTTTCCCTTGTGTCCTTACTGAAGTTTCAGTCATGCTGGAGGTAGGGTTTGTTCCAAATTCACATATTGGAGAGCTTTGAATGAAAGAAGCTGTGAGGAGAGTTGCAAGAGTAAGATATGTTTACTGTTTGATATTCTTGTGAAACTGCTTTCTTCTAGTTTTTCTGGTCTTCATGGAAATTATTGCTATCCATGTGGCTGAATCCATCTCCTTTTTTCAGTCAGATCATTTTACACAAGTGTTCTTGGGTCTGAATGGGCTCCTGGATTTCCCCCTCCACTCTTGTGGGGATTGTTTCTTTTATCAGAACTCTGAAGTTTAATACTTTTATATGAAGTGAATTAAACAAGGAAGCTTCTAAAGTAGGATGCACTAAGGTGATACTTTAATCCTCTTGCTGCTTTGTAGTGAAACGCTAAAGTAAGAAGTAGATAAACTTATTACTCAATGCCTGATATAAATTATTGTTATGTATTAATGCTGCATTTAGATATATAATCTTAACTTCATCTGATAACAATCAATTGATATTGAACTCTAGTGCAATAAGATTTTTTCCCAGCTAGAGTTTATGGAGATTTTAGTGGTATGCTAATTTAAAAAATAAAATACTAATATATTCTCCAGTTATTGTGTACTGTATAATTTCTACATTCATTAAATTTTTGCTACAGATATGTAGGCATTTTTATCCTGCATGACCTCAAAAACTGACATCATCAGTGTCCTATTTAATTTTATTATGCAGTCATTCCTGCCTTATTTGAATGTATACTGAAGAATTTATTCTTAACTGACATCTATATTAGAATATAAAAATACATTTTTGTTAAGAAATACATCTGTCATATCTTTACTTAGAGTTAGGAGTCTGTCTGCAAAGTATATCATCAGTAAAGGACTATGGAATTCTACTTATGATTATTTCAATCAATAACAAAAACATATCAAGAAGATTCTCTATCTTTAGTCTCTGGAGTCAAGAAATGACACTTCGCTTTGTCCTGCCTATCAGAGGTGGCAAATGGGGATTGTGTCTCAGTATTTTTTTCTCACTTTGGAGTCCAACATGCCTCAGGTAAATATCACAGATTTTGCCTGTAGGAAAGCTCTGTCTTTTTATCATTTTGCTAGACTCAGAAAAAAAAAAATCTGTAAGATGTCACAGCGATATTCTGACAAGCTCAGCAGCAGAAAGAATATTTCTTTCCAGTACACTGAAAGCTTTTTAATTTTTAAAAAAAATTACTTAAAATTTTGTTTCTAGGAGATAACTTTTTCTAATGGAAAAGAAGTAACAAAATACAAGCCACTTAAATGGAAACTAATTTGGGAAAGCTCACACAGTCTTTTTTGGGATTTGGTTTCTTTTGTTAAGTTCTTAAGTAATTGGTATTGAATAGTTTCTTTCAGAGACTTGTGTATTGCAGATACTTAAGTGCATTCATTCTCAATCTTGAGAGTCATGGAAGATATCCTGAAAGGGCGAATGTTACCCAGTCACATGTAGCCCGTAGGACTAGAAGGATATGGCAGAGATGATCATAGAACTCTGGAGTATCTCAAGTTGGAAGCGACTGATAAGAATCATGAGGCAAAGGTTGGAGCTACTGAGAGAAGAGGTGCTGGTTAAGGCTTGCAGAGAGCAGGGGTGGAGAAGCCAGTTCCAGCAGAGGTTCTGCGGAAGCCTTACTCTCACTAAGAACATTTCATGTTCCAAGACTGCTGCCTGGAGATGATGGTGTGAGCTCTACTCTTATATGTCATCATCCGTTTCCAGTTCCTGCTCCACCACCTTTTGACCTATCTCCATCTGTTTTCTTCCAGTATTGGATCTACTGAAGTGATTTAAAGTGCTTTGTACTCTATCCTGCATTTAAATTCTATCTTCTGCTTTTCGGCTGCATACAGCAGAACGTTCTGTGACATACAAACTAATGAGAATTTAAAGATTCTCCCCTTGGCTATTGGTGGGCTGGAGCTTTTCTGCTACCTCCAAAACTGCAGTATTTTACTAGAAGACAGCCTATGATGTCTTTCCTATGAGGTTTGCCTGGAAGTAATCAGACGGCCATCCTTGTTCGGCAAGGTCTGTCGCAGAGATCTAAGGCAGTGGAAAATCTGCACACACCATGTTAGCACGCTGAGTTAGCTCCATGTTGCTTTGGCACAGCCTATCCCTACGTTCCAGCAGTTCATTGTTAGTACAACCCTCAAGGATGTTTTTAGTGAATACACATTTTGCCTGCCCACTCATTTTGAAAACTCTGAAGAGGTGAAGAGCTGGATTGTATCCTGGGGGAAATAGAGCATGCTGTACTAAGGAACTGAGATTGAGTGTCTATGTTTAAACAGAGAGTAAAATAATAATAAAAGAAGAAAAGTAAAAGGCTGCAATCGATGTGGTTCCTGGACCAGAAAGGACAAGAAGAACAGGAGCAGAGTAGATGAACAGCATCAATAAAATGCCTGTCAAGTTTGTGATTTACTGTCTTTTATGCCTTTTTTCCTCTTTTTCCTTCTTTTTTAGTTTGTTTTGAGTAATGTTTCTAAGGACACTTGTGAACTGGACAGTTTCTGGTGTTCTTACATGGAAAGCTTTTCTCTGGTGGTAGTATTCTGTATAATTGACTATAGTTTCTCTTAAATGAGACCTTATTATTGAGTGCACACCAAGTAAACAGCAATTTCTAAGTATAACTGCTCTGAAGAGAACAAAGAAATCATAAATATTACTTATATTTCACAAAAGGGAGTCACCTTCAAAGTTTTTCCGGAAAACAAATTCAGATTTTCATGTGAATTCGGTATTTGACATAAGCTGTTCTTCTATGCTAACAGTATATTCAGGCCAAAGAAAAAGACATTTTTAATGCTTAATGAGTCTTATTTTCTTTATCTGGAAAGAACAAATGCAGTTATAGTATCTTGAAGGTTACATTTTTGCAGGTATCAAAAGGAGATTGATTTGGAGATGAGGCCACACTGAAGGTTGTTTGGTAATGTTTCCTAAGATATAGCTAAGTTAGTAGACACTGAACAGGTTTGTGCTCACTTTCTGGAGCATGGTCAGTATCTACATTTTCTATTAAAATTATTTTAATCACCGACACTTGAAAATCAACCATTTGGAGAATAGTTTGCAAGTTAATTATACTAATCACTGTTTCCTAATAAGTACTTAGATCTGAAGTAGTATCTAGAGCTAAGGATAGACTTTAGACTATGTAGTATGAAATAGTACATACCTCATTATTGTCCATGAGCAGGGAGAGAGAGGATGCCCACTTTTATGGGTACCCATAAATTCAGTGGCATGTGCTATTTCATATTTTCTGTCCTTGTACTCCTTTCTAATACAGTGTTATCCAATACTGTTTATATTCTGTGCTTGACAAAAGACTCAAGCATGGACTGTGATGCTCCACTATTATTATTCTCTAGAGGAAAAGAGTAATGTGACTTTTTCATGTGGATGTTGATGTAGGAAATATTTGAATTTCAGCTGCACAGAGTGTATAGCAATGTATTTAGAATTATTCCAGGTCTCTAAAAATAAGTGGTCTTTCACCTAATATTTGTCTTAAAAATCAATCTATATGCATTCTTTATATTCCTAAACTATTGGAAAACTCACAACATGCTTTTATTTTCCAGTATTTTTCTTGAGATAATAGTCTCATTAATTTCTTTTTTTTTTCACTTTTGTAGGCTTTGTGCAGAATTACTCGTTCCTCACCTAGTGCTTTCCAGAGTGTCATTGAAAAAGTGGGATTAACAGCTGTACTAAATTACTTGGCAAATGGAATGTGCAAAATTCAGCAGTACATGCTCACGATGTTTTCAGCAATGTTGTCATGTGGGATTCATCTACAGAGGCTAATTCAAGAAAAGGTTTGAATTCAGATTAATATTTTGCTGGCATGGAATTTAATGAAAGGAAAAGTTAAAATTGACACTGCTAGTGGTTTTGGGTTTTCAAAATACATCTCAATGACATTTGCATATCTGAATAGCTAGAAATGAAGAATGTGTTTCTTTTATATTTCTATTTGCTTAAAATCTAAATTATAAGGTTTATAAAATTATATTATATTTGGTTAAAATATAAATTATTTATACATCCATTAGTACCATTTCTCTCATGGCTCTTCGAGAAATGGTACTAATGGGTGTATAAATTGTTCCTTCAACTAGGATTCAATCAATCCAGAATACCCTAGCCTGACCATAACTGATAATGAGCCCTAAGGAAAATCAGTAATGAATCAGTAAGGACAGCTATTTTACATAGTTCTCTTAGACATTTAAAAGAGAAAATAAGGAATGTCCTGATTGAATCTGATACTGTATTTCATGCTCTCCTTTATGGATCTTAAGTCAATTTCTAAGTGAAATATCTTGCAGGAATTAACATTTTAATGCCTTAGGTTTTCCTTTTTAGTATCACTGAATAAAGCAACTGGTTTTGGTTTATGTGTAATATAATTTTTAGAAGTGGTTAAAAGTTTTCTATTTTGATCCCCAAATTATTTTATATTTAGAGAAAACGTGTTTATTTTTTGGCAGTGCATGTGCATAGTTCATAAATGAATGTAATAATCTCCCTCTGTTTGGAAAGGATAAAAACTACAGAGAAAGAAGGAACTATAGTTCTTGTTTTCCTCGGATACTCTGTTGTAATGTATGTTGTAATCTGACAATCATCTTGACTATAATAATGTGTTGGGCAATAAACTGAGAGAGTTTTATTTCCCTACGTATTGTTTTAACAATTACATTTAAATTAAAACATTGTCACACCTATGTGGCCTGAAATCACTCATTCTCTTCTTAAAATTAATTTCTGTACCATGTCAGAATTGCCAATGTGTTTTTGTGAGTGCATGTCAGCTGACCTTAAACTTTCCAGATCCCACAACAGCAGCTCTAATAGGTGGCAAATTGTCCTGTAATGCTGCACTAACAGTGCACATTGTGCAACTCACAACAGTGAGTTGTTGATATAGTCAGAGGAGCATGGTCAAAAATCTTTCACTTGAACATTCAGCAAGAAAATGCAATATGCAGCTAGCCTATGGCTACAGGATGATGTTTTCTGTGAAGAATTTCTTGTTTATATGGGACTTACATTGCAAAAGGAACTCCCATATTCATAGTGAATTTCTTATGGACAGTGACCAGAATTCCCTTTCTGATACTGCACTTCTTATGAACAATTCTAATTAAATTTTACAGATTAAATTGAAATACAGACAAATGTAGACATTCTTTTAATAGCATACATCAAACTAATGATAGAAGTGGGAATAGTGCCCAAAGCTGTAAGTAAAAAACACTGTACTGTAAAAACTGATAAAGTAGGTCTGGTTCTACTCCATGTGCCCACATTTGGTAACTGTACCTGCGTTACAGCTCAGAAAAACTTAAATCTCATAGAATTTTTTTTTTTTAAATTGAGATTAGCTCAGTTGGTTAGAGCCTGGCGGTAGTAACACTCAGGTTGTTGGTTCAATCCCATTGTGAGCCATTCACTTAGCAGTTGGACTTGATGATCTCTTCCAACTCAGAATGTTCTGTGATATGGAAATTAGATTGTAAGATTTTGGAAGCTGAAACTAAATTTCTCTTTTACTTGAATAGAATCTAAAAATACACACATACTCCTGTATTGAGCTGCCAAGTGCTATCACATCACAAGGAGTGATACTATTTTAGCTCTGAAAATAAAATTTAATAGTCCATGCACTTTTCAATATTTCATGCTCATGATGCACAAGTCCACCTTAATGAGAGAAGGGAAGAGTGAGTAGTGTTGGCCTATAGATTATTTTGCATTCTTTAAAATTCTTGCGTAGCTCAGCTTAAGAGGGAGAAGGATCTCAGTGACACACAGAAGGTAGTGAAAAAAAGTGACTCTGTTTAATATAGGTACAAGCAACATATTAAAAGATACTTAAAGATATAAATTCAAGATGGAGATAATTTAGCTTTGTGTATGTTATCTGGAAACACCCTTAGCTTGTAATAATTAGGACCGCCCTTGTTTTCTTCTGTTTTCAAAAACAGTAGTAAAAAACAGTTATTAAACAAAAGCCAGAATTGCAGTTCTGTGATCATCTACACTAGTACAAAATTTCAGAGAACTACAATAGCCAGGAGGGACTGGGTTTTGTCTCTCTCTGGTACAGAGACTTCCCATTTTAGTTTCATGTTTTGGAAACAAAATAGTTGAAATTATGTTTTTAAAATAAAGCATGAACAGAGAACTCAAAATCAAGACTCTTGAATGCATTATAGCAGTAGATTTAAAAAAACCCACTGCTAATTACTTTCATCTGTCTGTCAAGATTCACCTTTAGATTAGTGAAAATCAGTCACAGCTTTTTGAGTGCAATTAGGTTCTTCCAAAGGTCAGATAATGTAGCAGGGTGTTTTTTATTTGGTTTCTTTCTTCCTCAACTAGTCATAAGTAAAATTATTCAAATAGTTATAGCAATATATTGTCACAACTGCATTGTAAATACGTTATAAGCATTGTCCTCATATTTCAGTAACTGTTTTCAATTCTTTGTCTTTTACCTGAATGTGGACAAGTAACTACCACTGTAGATGATAGTTTTGTCAATATCAGTATGAATGAATAAAAAGATAAAAATATCTTTAGAAAAATCTTTGCAACTCCAAAATTATAATATGGAGATATTTTCAAAGCATAGAAGGGAAATTTGAAAATACATAATGATGCAACAAATGTTTGCTATTGCAATGTCTGTTCTTATATAGTGACATAGTGGTCTAGCTGTTTTCCTCTTGTGTAGCCAATTCAAAAATATAATCGCTTTTGTTTTCAACTTGCTTTGCAGTATTACTCAGTGTATCCAATATAAAGTCATAATCTTGTTGCAGTGTGTTCACTTGAAATGAAAGGACTGTCCTATCCTGCAGAGTCTCCATGGATACATCAAACATTTGCAGGGAAGGGAAGAAATATAGAGCAGAGAAATGATAAATAATGTATTTGGCAGTATTTGAGTGATTTTTGGCTTTTCTGATAAACTAAGTCCTGCAGGTCAGAAAAGATGTGCTTGAGATTTTCTTTGGATAAACTGTTGCTTCTATGCAGTCCTCAAACCAGCCAGAAAAGCAAATTACAACAGGTCACATTTATTTCTTAAACCAGATTATTAGAACATTCCCAGATAAGTCTGATGTAACTTAAGTTTAATTGTCTTAACCCATGCTAACCCCCACATGTAGTATTGAGATATTCTTACTTAGCAGAGTATGAGGACTGAAAATAGTTGTGCTTTGGCTTGTAGTTGCATGTGTCTTTGTCATGGTGTCCTTGTGCATGGTCTGTCAAGTCTGTCTATGTTAGCACGGTCAGTGTTGCATTATATATACTCTTTGAGTATGTCTGATGTTTTATGGGATTTCTGAATGTAAAAAACTTTGTTGTTTTTGTTGCTTTGATTTTTTAACAAAAAAAAACCCAAAAAAAACCTTGAAAAACCAAACCACAATTAAAATTCAACCTTTGCATTTATTAGATTGTAATTTAAGACCTTGACTGCTGCAAGTTCATACTGGAGGAGCTACAAATCATGTTCTGTGAGCTGTTGAAGGATTTAAACTTTTAAATCCCAATACTGAGAAATTCTTCTATTTATGAAATAAATTATTGAAGTATAGCAGGACAGTTCTAGAATAATTAATAGCAGTTTGTTTTTCTGAGATTTCTGTAGTTCCTGAATGATGACTACTTTTGAAAACAGGGTTAAAGTGGCGTCAGAATAAAATCTGATGGTTTCTTGGCCAGCTCTTATACTTCTGCTCTTTTTCCATTCTCTGTAAAGATATATAGTTAATTCTTGCAAAGAATGTCTCTTAAGAAATTACATTCAGTGTTGATTTGCAGTTATCTGTCAGCAGATGAGGAATTTGAACAGTAATATATATGCTAAATGTGTATCACACAGCAGGATTTTAAACTTTGTACATAACATGCATACACTACTCATCTATCCTATAGTGCCACGCCCTTGAGAATCTAGGTCAGCTGTTTGAAGGCAGGTTCTATTGATGAGGCAATTTGTGCATAGAGCCAGTTGACACAGTTTGTAAATTCTGATTCACTTTTTAGTTCTGATTTTGTTTATCCTTCTTTCTTTTCAAGTCCTAATTTTATTTCTTCCTTGAAAAGATGTTGTTCATTTTCTGAACTCAAAATAAGACTAGATTAGATAAGAACAACCAGAGAAGGTGGAAACTGTTTTACTGTCTGTTTGGGGCATCTGGTGTATGATTTGCTGTCTGATGTAGATAAGATTTTATCCAACTAAGGTGTAGTTTTTAATATTCCTGCATATAAGGGAATGAATAACTAAAGAATTTAATCATATTTGTGCTTAAATATGTATATATTCTGAAAATAGTTCAGCTTTGTTTTAAAATAAATATATTAAAATATCCTATGTTTATGCTTAAGGTAAGCTCTTTAAAAATATAAGTTTTATCATCTTTTGTAATTGATTTCATACTATTTTGGATGTGGTACATTAAATAGTGTTTACTTTTTACTCTACCACTTCTGAAGAAGTTCAAAGCTGCTTTACACTGGGCCGGTCAGTCTTTAAATTTATTTGCTAGTGTTCTATGGTTTTTTTTTTTCGTATGAGTTACATGAAAATAAGCAAACTTTAAGTGTATACAGTCTCACAATACAGTGCAAGTAACCTTAATGTCTTTGTGTCTATTTCCACCAAGGATTTTGTGACCACAATTACTCGTCTACTTGAAAGTCCTTCAACTTTTATTCGAGCAAAAGCCTTTCTGGTCTTGCTGCAAGTTTTAATTAATAACAGAGAAATGTTGCTCCTCAGTTGTCAAACAAGGTAAGGTGATAATGGAAGATAATCAAAGATACAGTCTTTAAAGTTATAACTGAAATACTTGAAAATGTGTGGTATTTTTGAGCCAATGGTTTAGAATTTAATTGTTTTGTGTGTAACAGTAATCCTTTTATTAATGAGAATATTTTGTCTGGGATCATCAGGTGACAATTATGCACAAGGGGAAACCACTGTCTTGCAAGGAGAATGTATTTTAAAATGACTTGTTGAGCATTTGCATTTTTGGGTAGAGCAAAAGATATACTGCAACAGTGAGTTGTTGCTATGATGGGAAAGTAAAATTAAAGGTTCTATTATGTACCTTCCTCATCTTGGGGTTTGGTATAGTCCATAGTCTCTTCTGGATAGTCACTTTCAAGGTAAAATAATACTTTTGGCTATATGTGGTGTGGGAGTGATTTACATAATGACCAATAAATTCCTGTGACTTTTACATGATCTATTTAATTCTTCTATGTTTTAGAACACTTTGTAAGAAATTACTGAATCACCAGGGAATTCTTATTTGAAATTTTGTGTCTTCTGTTGGGGCAGAAGCATTCCTGTATCAAAGGGAAGCAAATTAGACTGTGTTAGAATATGAATTGTCAACATGTTTTGAGGTGATTGGAGAAGTAGGATTAAAGAAATTTTAGTTGGGATTTATATCTTCTACTGTTCTGTAAGAAGAATAAAAGAAGTGTAAACATAGTTTTTAGGATATTGAAATAGAGCAGGTTTGGAACTGAAAGTAAAATAGGATGAAGCTTGTGAGTAGCTGCAAATCTAATTATGTCTACAGCAAATATAACATTATATCTTATATTCATGTTTGAGAAAAATTAGGATGTATACATTAGGGTTAAAGGAAGGAACAGATGAGTTACACTATGAAGCCACTGTGAAAGAACACCTTGTGGGGTGATAGCATGATATAATATTCCTCCACTCACAACACTGTAGGTATCCTAATATTCTAGAATCAGGGAGAATAAGTACTGAATCCAAGGGGCTTTTTCATATGTACCTTTTTACACTTCCAGAAATGTTCTATCAGATCATGTGTTCTGGTTAGTGAAAAATACCTCTAATGATTTTTAAGTGGCTTTTTGAATGGTTACATTTTTAGTAACTCCTGCTGTTCATGTGCCTAATATACCACATAGGATTCTCCCATGTGTTTGGAGAAAGGTCTGACAGAAATCCTGCACAGACAGTTACTGTTTGTTTATATATATACCTAAGATATGATGTGAAAGAGGATAATATTTTTTAAAATTTTTTCCTTTTTGAAGAGAATGTGTTGTGAATTTGGAATATAATTTTGTATTACGACTTTTGGCTTTATCCTGCAGTTTTATTGTCATGCTCCAGACAGGGCTGATAAGAGACCAATTCATAATGTAATACATTAGGTAAAACAATAGGCAAGCCTTATAGCAGCTTTATTGAGCTGATAAACTGTTTTTCTTCATTTGCTGAATTTTCTTTATAATTGTTCTTTAATGAAAAGTATATCGCTTATCAGAATAGATAATCTAAAACCTTTCTTTTACATCCAGAAGGTAAGATAGCTACAGAGAGGAGAAATGACCTATTTAATCTGGAGACAGTTGCATTCATAATATCACTATGTAACTCTGGAATAATCTTAAACACGGCAGAGATACTGGAGACTCATTGACTTGTATGTGGAATTTAGTTAGATGTCTTCAGTTGTCTGACAGAAAAGTTTCTTCAAAATTAAGACTCATAAATTCTAAATTGCTAGCACAGGAAGCAGAAATCAGTTGGCTAACTGTTGAAAATATTTGATAAACTTAAATTCTCCTTCTGGAGGTGTTTGATATAAAGAGCCTGTAGTAAAATGCATATAATTCCTGGTTAACAGTTTGTCTTCAGCAGCTGCAGCTAAAGCCTGTAGTAAGATTTATATTGCTTTAGATGATAAAATCTGTTTACTATAATGATAATCAATACAAGGCAATTTTTCAGTGTGCATCACTTAAAGGATGATGCAGATGATAAAACAATAATAACTATTTCATGGCAACACTGCACTGAAAAATGCTTTTGTTTGGTTTGGTAATTATGCTGGTTTTGGCTGGGTTAGTGTTAATTTTCTTCATGGCAGTTACTATTAGGCTGTTTGTGCTGAAAACAGCCCCCTGGGCCTCATGAGCATGGGGACCTCCTCAGGGCCAGCATCCCAAAGGCCTTGCTCTGGAGAGCAGTTATTCCTTTATTTGGCAGCAAAGTTGGGACAGGGTCTGGAGTGCAAGTCTTATGAGGAAGAGCTGAGAGAACTGAGGTTGTTTAGCCTGGAGGAAATAAAGATTAGGGGTGACCTTATCACTCTTTGTAACCACCTGAAAGGAGACTGTAGCAAGGCAGGGGTTTGTCTTTTTCTTCCCAAGTACTGAGTGATAGGACAAGAGGAAATGAGCTTAAGTTGTGCCGTTGGAGACTGAGATTTGAGATCAGGAAGATTTTTTTCACTGATAATTCAGACAATAAAATCCTGTTCCCACTGGTAACCTTTGTGGTATCTGTCCTTGGAAGTGGTTTTGGAGCTGGAAAAACTGTGGAATGTGAGGAAAATAACAGTTTAATCTGTTTTCATTCATCTCATTGGGAGGAAAGGGCATGGGACAGGGAAAGGAAGGGAGAGAAAGAGAAATAGAAGGAGGTGTAGGAAAAGAGGAAGTGGAAGGAAAGGGTGATGGCAAACTTATTTTAGCTCTGCTGGTGTTACCAAAATGTATTTCCTTGTGTTTTTCTTCCAGTTTGTGCACAGGTACCAGGAAATAAAAGGCAGCAGAAGTAGGCATTTGCTAAAACCTCTTTTTATTGCAAGCAATAATGATGCCTCAGGGCTGGGAACATGGGAACTATCCAGTGTTGCAACTCTTAATTCCTGGAATGCAATCTTAAGACTACCTGTCGATTTTTTTTTTCTTTTACTGTTTACAGAGGCTATTGGCTTTGGCCATGATACCAGCCATTGCCATTCACTTTTTGAGTATTTGTACACACAATCCCACATGCATGTCCCTGTAATACCTATTGATTAGCTGAATTTGCACAATCTGGTTGCAAGTTTCTTTTTGTACCTCTTTTCAAAAACATCTACTTACTCAAAGAGTATGGAAACACCTTTATAATTCCAAATAAGAGTGGAGAAATATCTGATCCCAACTGATCAAAGGGATATTCCATACCACGTGGCCTTATGGGGGAAAGAAGAAAGGAATGGCAGGGAAGACATTAGGAGTGATGGCACTTGTCTTCCCAAGTAACCATTACATGTGATGGAGCCCTTTGTTCCTGGAGATGGTTGAATACCTGTCTACCTATGGGAAGTGGTGAATGAATTCCTTGTTTTGCTTTGCTTGTGCAGATTTTGAGTTCTGTGGATGAAAAGTATTGATACATAATAAGAAATGTAATTTTGAAATGAATTCATTGTTGCACAACATGGACACAATTCACCTGTTACTCTTTTTTTCCTATGTGTTCCATGGTTGTCAATTACGTACCTTTGGTTCTTCCATATGTGATACAGCTAGAGAAGATATAAGATTCTTTAGGCTGAAGTAGCACTTGTTTATTTTCAGTGGGCAAATTAATTTATTTTGCTAATTGCACTGAGTTTTCTAGTCTCCTTAATTTCTCCTTGATGTGCAGAGGCGGGCTATCTGTGTTTCAGGGGAGGGACACATCCTGAAATTTTATTAAGACTTTTCATTTCACCCATTTCTGAGATAGCAGTAATTTCTGATTAGTCTCACTGAATTGTTCTTTTTGTATCTAGGTGGTTTCAGAGAATTTCCTGGGTAAACAGAGACTGACTTAGAGATTGAACTTCTCCTCCCAAAAGAATTTATTCAAACCTCTTGTTTTCTACTTTCTGCAGAGATGGACACTTGTGGAAAGATAGGATAGTATTCCTGACACATTTCACAGTCTACAGAAATGTAACTGTGCACAACAACATAACATCTGAGCAAAATCTTTCTCTGTTTCCTGTGGCCACCTTCCATATTTATTAAATTTTCAAGTCTTACATGTGCCTTTAAAGGAAAAGCTTTGCCTAGAAATCTACTGTAGTCTCACATTTAGCATACATCTTAAGACTGCTTCTACATCTTAAGATTAATCTAGAAAAGAAGTGAGGAAAAGAACTAAAAAGTTTAGTGCTCAGTCATATGGGAAGACACGGAAATGGAAGGCAGGAGAGAACAATGACGTAAGTCAGTGATTTCAGGAAAAAGCCCAGCAAGGTGGTATCACATTGAAAAATAGAAAAACGTGATGGAAGGCAAGAAGTAGAGATTGAGCCTCCTATTAACATGGCATGCCATCTGATGTTACATCTCTGTAAAAGAAACACTTTATCTGTATTAAGTATGCTTTTAAAAACTTCCTCATTTTCTGTAAGCAGAGATTGATTAGTAACAATAATAAATAATGATAAAACTAAGAAATAGTTATTGATTTCTTGGGGTAAATGGACTGTTCATGTCCTCAGAGTATGCTCGAGCTTCTTTAGTTTCATGAAGGTCTGTCACTCTCTGTGAAATTAGTCTCTTTTCTTCATATTGGCCTTCCTTTTAAGAGAACAGTTCTTATTCTTTTAGTAGTAGACCTCATCCCTGTTCCTATCACTACAGACCGTTAACTCTGGAATTTTCCCTTTTTTGCTCCAATCTTTCACATTTTTTTACAGAAAACTTGGGTTGTTTTGTTTTTTAGTGTAAAAGCTCACTGATGGCCATATCTTACAATACAGACAGTTGAATTTTATTTTAAAACCAAACCCTTGCTTCATAGACAGTGGTTTACTCCTTATCATATTTAGCTTATTTATACTAACATCTACTTTTTTTTTTTCATGTGTTGTTGAATGCAAGACGAATGTGCTACTCAATGAATTGAACAAATACCTTTCTATAGGCCTGGTTTTACCAAGAAGAGAGAACACTGAGATTCATCAGGGAATAAAAGTAACTGATGAATTGTTCTACATATGACTGAGGAATTTGTCAAAGGAAAATAGAGACGCTAATCCTTTACTGCCTACACAATTTCTATCTGTTCAGTTTTCTCAAGACAATGTTTAGTTGAACCAAACTATCAGGGAAAAAACAGTTGTGCATATTTTTGGAAAATTTTTATGTGAAAGACAATTTTGTGAATGGAAGAACAACATAAAGGAGAGAACTCATGTATCTTTCCTCTTTCAGAATAAATAAACCTACTTTGTATCCTTCTTAAATGTGATTAAGTAACAGAACATGCTTTTATAAAATAAAATAACCTCATTCACCCAAAAAAATAAAACCACTCATGCTGAAGTCTATTTGGCTCATTTTAAGTTAAACTCAAACAGATCTAAGTGTATCTCCATAGAGAATCAGATGATTGTTAAATCATGGAAGTGTTTTCTTAAAAAAAAAATAATTCAAACTCTGATATTTTGTCTTTATTTTAAAGCTAAACATTTTTTGGAATAGAAATTACTTGGTTGTCTCAAAAGCCTAGAAGGCCATTTTATTTAAAACATTCAAGTTTTTATATTAAAAAGTGACAAGCTTATAAAAGTAAAATTCTATTTGTAGCACAATGCCAGATTTTTAAGTAGTTATTTTCTAACAGACAAATCAAAATTCCTGTAATTGAATGTAGTTTCCATACATTACAAGAATAAAAGATGTCCTCTCGCTCTCTGAGAAGTGCAGAATGTGTTTGTATCTGGGCTATTGCACAGGTGAAAAGTAGTTACTCAGTGGGTCTTTTGATTTCTCTCTTTGTCTCTGTAGAATAGGTTAGGAAGGATAAGAGTATAGTATTCAATCATAATAATGTATTATTTAGAGACACAATTCTGTAAAATGTATTCTTAGGTAGTTTTTACTTCATTGAGTAAATAATCTTTTTGATAGAAAGATGTATTTCCTAGTAGTATTGTTATTAACACTTTAGGTAAATAAGTAATTTTCATAGTTCTGTAAAAGAGAATTGATTATCAGAAGGGTATTTAAAAAGTTAGTACTGAAGTACATATTTAAAATCCAGATCATGGATTTCCCTCACCAGTGATTGATGGTTCTTTGCACAGGACCCGGAGGGAGTTCGAATGTGAAACAAAGATGTCAATAGTATGGCCCTAAAGGGAAGTCTGGCCCTTCTGTCTATTCAAATAAGCATTTTAAAATCTTGCCTGGAGCATTCTGTTACCGGTGTATTATTAAAGCAATCTCTTGTAAGTTAGCCAGTGGCTAATAAATCAGTTACCATTTCACTGTGAGAAATGTCATTCTTCAGAATGGCACAGCCACAGCACTTACCAGTTGGAATGCATGCACTGAGTTTGTATTTAGAAACTGTGAACACCAGATTTCTAGAAAGAGGATGTAAGACTACTTTGGGCTTTTATCTCTTTCAATATGGCCATTCCAACTAGTGCTAACATTTTAATAGGCTGCAGTGTGATCTATATAGTATGATTTTTCTGGACTGAAAGACTGATCTCTTATCAATTTACTTTAATTATCCTTGCTTTTGGAATTCTTACGAGTTGAAAATTAGTGTCTTTAGTCTTTCAGTTATATTGCACATATGGATTACCTATTTCAAAATAAAGTGGATTGTAAAATTAGTCTCTCTCTAAGTTTGAAGAAAGATTCACTCTTTATGTTAAAATCACATTTTCATTTAAACTAGTAGAGTTGTGCTTACCTAAAGTAGCTTAAGGCTTTCTTTCCTTGACTCAGTAATTTGTGTTGGTTTTAAAGTTGATTAAAAGAGAAGTCTAAAATTTCAACAAAATTACAGAGCCAAAAGTAATGTATCATCTTCATTATAACCACAGATATAGATACCAAAAATATCTGGTTCAATAACTTTTTTGAGATATAATGTTATTTACTTTGGTGTGGGAGTTAATGTTTTGCACTTGTTTAAATGTAGACTCATGATGTATATTGAAAGAGACAGCAGAAAGACCATGCCAAGAAAAGACCAGCAAGGTGGCAGTGAATATCTGTCAAAATGCCTGGATCTTCTCATTTATCACATTGTGCAGGAGCTGCCAGGAATTCTAGGTAAATTCAGTTTGTTAACCAAAAATATCTTACCTTTGATTACTCTGTCAAGAAACTAGTATCTCCTAATGTATACAGGTGGAAAGACTGTATTTTCTGATTGCATAAAGTTTGCATGATGATATCAGCTTCCTGAAATTTTTTAGATGAGTCATGATCAGATATTTTGTATTGGAATGCATGATTTCCTATATGAATGTTTTGTGTTTGTGGAATGGTAAGCCTCACCAGCTCAGTCAGGAATTAAGCCCAGAGATACAAGATGTTTTATCAATGTTTCAAAGATACTGTAAAGTCTAGAAACATTTTACAATGTAAGAGCAAATTTGCCCGATAAACCAGAGGCCTAGGAGAGATGCAACAGGGTGTATCTCTGAGTACATGTTAATTGCTTATGCTGAAATTTATATATAGAGTATTTGCTACAGGCAATATTTCTGGAAAATTTCAGCTTAGATACTTCAGTGGTTTTAGATACTTGAAACACGTTTGCTCATGCACATGAGATTTATTTTCATAAAATTATCTTCTGATGAGATGATACCTGATGTATTTTTCATTTTCTCTACATTATCACTAGGATATTGAAAATGTAATGGTAGCACTGCAAAGGTTAGTAGACCTAAATGTCATGCTGCTATTTTAAAATAAACTTTGCTTCCTTTGCTAATGCAAATTTTTGCCTTGCTGCAAACACCTGATCCCTTTTTTTGTAACTAAATATCAGGTTTGCATATTGGCTATATTTCAGGATGGAAGTCTCAGGCTATAAATGTTTGAAGCACAAATTCACCTCCTACTGTTTATATATACTAAATGCAACTAATACAGTAGGCTCTGATATTTCCTCAGAATCTGAAAGTTTCAAATACATAGTTATTGTCATGATATATAGTACATCAATTGCTTACATATGTAATTACTACTGATTTGCAATTAGAATGCATTTTTGAGAACTGATATCAAGCATAATTTCTACACTTTGTTTTCTTTTCCAAACTGGATCTGTGTGTTGATTGTTTTCTGTAACCTGAATTTATCTCTCTGTATTTGTCCATATTTGTCAGAAGTCTTTTTCTATTCATTGCTGTATGATGAAGGAGCATGTACTGCTCGAGGTGGTGAAAGCTCTGGGCACCTAAAAATAATAATCAGATTTGAAAATTGGGACAGTGAAAAGCAGTTTAGCTGTTAATTTAGAATTAATCTTACTTGGCTTTTTTAATATGCATTCATGTAAGCCCCTTACTGATCCCATCTTCTTCCACCAGATGTAGCTATAAACCAAATAGATTAACAAATTGTAGGAATTGACCTTAAAGATACACTTGAATAAAAGAAATAAATTGTTAATCTTTTGGTTAATTTTAAAAGTTTTTGGTTGTTGTAAATAAGAAATTAATTTAGTTCTGCATTTATAATATTTAACATATTTCTAGGAAGTAGATATAAATTGTTTAGATCATGCTAACATTAAAGATAGCCATATCTATCTATTTATCAAATGCAAAATTGCCAAATGTGATGGTTGTATATTCTTTAAAATATAGAAAGACAGATTGTTCACTGAATCAGTTACTAAACAGAGATCTTTTTGAATTACAAGATTGTATGTAATTCAAAACAAAAAGGTATTAATGAAATAATTGTTGTGTTTCATGTATTTGAAGAGTTTTAAGGAACACTTTCTTTTCTTTACAGTGAATGAGTCAAATCTTTAAGGCCTACTTTAGTGCAGGCTCTGTCATTTCTGCTTATATTGAAAACTGAGCTCCATGAGGACTGAAGAAAAGCATTGGTATTATTCAACATGATTAAATTCTGACTTACTGTGAAAGAAAAGGCCTTTACTGGCTTGAAAAATAATTTTAATATGGAATCCCATTCTTTATTTGCTTAACATATATTTGAATTCCTTTTTACAGTTTTGAGCAGTTATCTTTTTAGGGGGGAAAAATATAACAGGTGCTCTTTCAAGACAGCATTTGGCTTCTGGTATTTTCAGGTTATAGGGACAGAATTTTCCTTCTTTTCATATGAGATAACTTTTCTCATGCTGCTTCTGTTCTTTATCCTGTGCAGAAGAGGTCTTGCTTTTTGTAGACAATAGGAGGTATACCACAAAGTTAGCATAATTTTCTTGATTTTTATATGTCTCTTCTGAGTCAGAAGTATAATTTTCACGATTGCCATTACAATTTTGTTAGCTTATGTCTGAGGTTTGTAATGAAGGCTTTTAAGTTCTCTCATTGATCTGTTGCTATCTCTTTTATGAGAATTCCTGTAGATTTAGGTCACTTGTGTTACAGTTAAATCAGCAAATGAGAATGTGCGTGTGTATAGCTGGTGTAATGATCTCTTTTCTTGGAGGAGAAGGATGTTTGGGGTTTTTCTTCCTGCTGAACTGTGCTGCAGGGCAAAATATTGCTTCAGCATTATGTCACCCACTAATCTTAGTTCATTCAGTTTTTGGTTAACTGAAAGCCGTGAGAATTTCACTTTTTACTTCACTGGAAATAGAACTTCATCCACATAATTTAGCCAGTATAAGTCCACTCTGCCAAGAAGGGGTAATTACATCTTTACTTCAACAGTCACCTTCTACTTCTATCCTCACTGCTTTGCCAGAGGTCACCTTTGCCTGTCCCTGTAGCCAGAGTAGGGAATTGATCTGGTTGAAGACAGAGCTAGGAAAGAAGTGCTGGATTCATCATGAACACTACTTCTGGCTGACAGAGAAGACAGGAGTCAACAGAGGCTACTGGAACAGAGATGTTCTATATGTCATTTGCTGTTGTTCAGTGATGTTTTTTTGTTGTATCAGACTGAAATGCCTTTTTCTATAGGTGACATTCTCAGTGCCCTAACTAATGTCTCTGGACGTAAACACCCATCAACAATTCAGGCCAAGCAGTTGAAGATGTGCCTTCCTATGATGCCTGTAGTGCTTCATCTTGTGACATCCCAGGTAGACTCTTTTTCCTGCAAAATTTGTTACACAGAGGACAAACTCTTACAGTTTCCCAAAATCTAATTTCTGTCAATCATGATCAAAAGAAGTGAAATAGAGGTTTTGTTAATGCATAGATATGTTGATGAGTATTCCAGCTATGAAGCAGCATTTGATAAATGTGCATTCTGTAACAATGGTAATGACAGAAACAAATGCATATTTTGTCCTCTTCTTTTTGTATTTTTAACATGTGAAATATTTTTTTTACTTTTTCTGGTCATAAGATATGCATTTAATGTAATTTTTTTTCCTTTGGCCAATTTCAAATAGGTATTTCGTCCCCAGATAGTCACAAAGCAGTTTCTTTTCAACTATGGCATCTTACTTGTAAGTATAAAATACAAGATAAATATTTTTACACGATATACCTATGCATAAAATTTTGGAAGTTACTTTAATGAAATAAAATTACATAACGTTTCTAAATGGGAGAAAGAAGTTTATTCTGAATGTGTATTTTAAGCTTTGGTTGTATTCAAAACTTTCTACATAGTCAGAAAATATTTTCTGTAGTAATCTATTTATTCAAAGGGAAACTCTGTACATATTTGATAAACTGATAATTTCCTGTGTGCTTTATTTCTGAATAGCAAAGTTTAATTCTAAATTACATAGAATATTTTCTCTGTAATATACTACTAGTATTTCATGAGCAGAAATGAAAGATAAATATTAATTAATCTGTATTTGAGGTATTGTTTCTTCTTGTCACCTTTTTCTTCTTGCCAGTACTTCTAAACTGTGTTTAGTTTATGAAAAGCTATGAAGCTAAGATACTGAACTCGTGTTGACATTTACAACTTTTTCTGACATTACTGATAGAAAACAAACTTTTTAGCTGTGCCATTGGATAGTACAGGAGAAATGAAATAGTATAGTTCTTACATAATTTCCTTATATGAAAGCAATTGTTTATGCTAAATGAGAAAAAAAGGGATATTCTAAAATGCATATCAGAGTTAAGCCAATACTTTTACGTGCATGAGTTCATAAATGACAACTAGGTATTTATCTCCAAATAGCATAAAGAAATGGTTTGCTACAAACAATAAGATTCAAGTTATGTGTTCAGATTAATTTCTCTTTCTCCTTTGACTCTTTATTCCAAGAAAATGTAGTTTAATTTATCTCTAATAAAATATTTGTGTAAAAATTAGCATTAGAATAATGAAAAAAAATTAAAACTGTAGATGTTGTATTACAAAGCTCTTTCTCCCTTTGAAGCATTTCTAACTAGCAGTAGATTTATTAGTAGTTTTCAGTCAACCTTCTAGAAGGTGAAATTCTGTCAACAATATAGGTACAATGAAAGTTTTCTTTTGATGTTACTCCAGGTTGTTTGAACTACTGACTAAGGAAGTCAGGCTAGTTATAGTAGCACAGCTTTCCTCTGAAATCAAGGAGGAGCACATTACTCAATGTTTCCTATATCTTGTCCTGCCATTGAACTTACATACACTTTAATTTACACATGAAAAATGGAGGGATAGTAGTATATCTGAAAAATTAATATCAAATTTTAATCAATTTTATGTAACTGTGTTACGATATAACTAATATAATTACATCTGGAAGAATAACTATCCATTATATCAGACAACAATCTACTCTGGAAATTTGTGTTTAGCAACATTCCCACTGACACCTATAAAGGGACATTCAATCATCAACCTGTACTTTTTCAAAGTACTGTGCTATAACTGAGGCCCCTAAGACTTCAGTGAGGCAGTCTTTTTGTTTGTTTGGTTCTTTTTTTTTTCCTGATTTATTGAATAGTCTTGTTCTTAACAGTAAGAAATTATGCGGAGTAGAAAGATGTGTGCTTTGGATCTGGATGGAAAAGAAGAGTTATTTTCCTGTAACGGTTGTTCATTGAGAATTTTTTTTTATGCTGCTTTGAAGTTACTTCCATCATCACTGTAATTTTCAGTAGTGTTGAGCAAAGAAATTGAGAGGGAGTCGGGACAGCCCTTTCATGTTTTCTGCTGTGAACAGAAGTACATGAAGGACACGCCGTGCCCCAAAGGCACAGATAATAGCAGGCTCCTGGTGGTGTGCACAGGGCACAGACTCACCTGTAGCAAAATAAACATACACCATTTCTCTCCATTGCTTGAGAAACCCCAGATAGTTACATTTCTTTAAATCACACATCTTTTCCCTGTGTTTCTAATATAAAATTAGTAAGCATTAGAAGCCAGAACAGTTTTTGCACCAACTATTTTGATGTTTTCAAATCAGTCTTGAGACTATGGTTGTGTGAAACTGTATAAAAATGAGCAAACAAAATAATTTGCTCTCTTCCAAATCAAGTTAATTAGATAGTAATTTTCTTCAAATGATCAGGAAGATAACTTTTTTTTTAATAGAAGCACTTGTTTTTTATTACTCTTTCTGAGGTGTTTTTAATAATGAAATATATAATTGGTTTCTAACTCTATTTTTAATTAGAGAAGAATCCTTTAGATGTCTCTTACATATTGTGGAAAAGATAACCCATGTAGAAACTTCTTCCATTTTAATATGTAATAAGGAAAATTTAATTGGTAGTGAAGTACAAAAGAATGCCATTTTCCTAAATACTACATTAGTAAAAAAGAGCATGCTACACATTCTGCTGAGAATTTTCCTTCCTTAGCAAGTCTTAATAACGTCTTTTGCATCCCAAAGAAATAAACAGCTATGCATAGAAATGAAAGCAGAAGAACAGTGGGTCTAATTGCACAATATTTACTTAATTCAGATGATTAATATTTTATTGACTCTGTTCCTTAATATAATGACTAATTTAGGTGATTTTTAATAGAAAGTTATATGTGCATTTTTGCATGTTTTCCTGAGTGTAACTGCATCCATAGCGTGTATATGCATGGAGATCAAAAAGATGGTACAATAACAGAAAATTGCATTTTCTAAATGGTCTTTGGTAATTTTAATGAGTTATTTTGAAATAGCCATGTCCAAGGTCGTTCAAAGTTTTATAAGAAATTATAGTTTTCTGTTAACAGTGAAGACATTTAATTACTGTCTATTTAGCTAAAATTATATAATTTCTGATACTTGTCAGAGCAATAATTCTTAGTGTACTCGACATTCAAGGTTCCAAGAGCATTACAGAATTGCAAAATTATAACAGCTAGTTCATTGGTGCTTTCAGTTTTAGTTATGATGAAAGTTTATCCTAATGTAGGTGCAATAATATTTTGTATTTGAACAGTTTTAAAAATAATTTCTTGTTGTAATTATTCAGTGATTATGCTTTTTAATTTTTTTTTCCCCAAAGTGTTTTAACATAAATGCTGCTTCTTTTGCAGGAGTTCATCAGATCAATAGATTCAGGAGAAACAATCTTGGATAGAGCAGTAGGTGGGGTAACCTATGATATTGCAGTACTTTTAGACACAGATATAACTATTGAATTTTATGAAGGAATATGATTACTTTTACCAACAGGGCAAGCTGCATCAGAAGAATTGATTAGGACTATTTTATTGACCTTTGGAGCAATAACAGAACATCCCAGCTTGCTGATAACCCATCGCTTGGCTGTAAGTCTGACAGAAATTTAAATAGTTGCAGGCTGATAGGCCTAACTCCATTTATAAATAGAAAATTTTGTAGATTTAGAAACAGTTGGTTTAAAATATATTGTGGTTCTGTTTGACAGGAAAAATACTTATTGTTTATATAGAATTTTCAAAGAAGCAGCAAGACATTCAGTTTACTGTATTTAGTTGAGAAATTAGAGGGAGAATGAGAAGGATTTAGAGTTTAGAAATAGTAGTTCTTTATTCTGTGTTTCTTCAGCTTCAATGCAAATATGTTGCTATATATTAGTGAAACTATCATGACTATTTATGCTTTTTACAGAAACATACGCTTTTAACAGCAACATGCTTGGAAACACCACCTCTCAGGATTGATCCCATTCTATCATATGAGGGGGATAGTAGATATCAGTACATAAAATATCATATCTACTGATGAGGTCATGAGTAGCAGTTATGGTGCTGGGGTTTTTCTGTTGTTTGTTTACTTGCTTTTTTATGCCGAACAGATTTCTTACCTAAATACCTAAAAATTTCATTAGAATTACCAAACATACTGTAAGCTTACATCACTGAGTTTTGTTTTCTTTGAAGTTGTTGGTTAAAACATTCTACCATGAGCTAAGCTAGTTGAAGGCAGAACAATTAAGTTGTGAAATGGTTGTCAGCAAATCAGTAGGTGTCAATGGTAATCAATATTTGACAAATCATCATAACCTGTACCAATGCATTTCTGTGCTTGAACTTTCACCAAAATACAATCCACCATATTCACTGAGGTGACCATTTGATGAAAATTGAATCTTATGTGTTTGTATTGGAATTAAGTTAAGGGCACGCACTCAATATAGCACTTAGATCAAGAAAGACATCAGCAAATAAATAAGACTGAGGGATGTTAGGGATTGTGCTAGATAAGTATGGGTGATCTTAGAAATCAAGTGTTTTTAGATCCTAATTGGCATGTATGTTAGTTGAGTGTTTAGATTATAAAGTCTCAATAAGTGAAAATAGTAAAATTAATCCAAAATATGAATTGAAATTTTGAAAAGTTTAATAGGATTTCTTTTCATGAATGCTCACAATTGTGATATTCAAGAAAATGATCCTTATGCAAAAAAATCTAACCAATTAGTAGTCAAAAGGGAGATAGTACTGTTCAATTTACTTTAATACGGCAACAATGTCTTAGAAATAAATGTTAAGTGTAGGTGAAGTATGAATGCCTTCTGATATCCCCCTATATGCCTGTCACCCTGCTTCTCCCTATATCTGTATCCTTCTAGAATCACCTCAGTTTAAAAAATAATAGCTTTACTTCTGTGAATTAGCAGTGTGTCTTATATTGACAGATATATGTACCATTTTTTATGGGGGTCCATCAGCATTGACTGAAATTGTGACACCTTGTGTCAGCACATGAAATAAAATCCCTCTACCTGTTTCAACTTTAATGGTCTTGGGATTTTCTCTGGAAGACACAATTCCTCTTTACAACTCTCTTTCCCTGTGGCGCTCCCCACATTTAGCAGAACTTTTTCCTGGAGCCAGGGAGTAACTATCCTAATCTCTGTTAAGTAACCCACGGCCCACAGTAGGCGATTTTGAAATATTTAGATTTCTGGGGAGCAGTTTACTTCAGTTCTTATATAGGAGGTTTTAGATGTTTATTTAAAATCCATCTGAACATATCAGTTGTTTTGTTAGAGATAAAACTTTCTTCCTGACCAGAGATTGTCCAGTAATTCTGACACATACCACTTTTGTAGTTTCCCTGGTTTAGGTATAAAATTGTATCCTTGTCAATGAACAACAATGAACAGATTTTTTTCCTTTTTTCTTTTTTTCTTTTTTTCTTTTTTTTAAAGAAAATCTATTACTTCATGCACTGATTTTCATAAGTAACAGTTCTTGCTAGTTTAAAAGAGCCCTCTTGACACTCAGCAAATAGTCATTCAGACATTAAATACAGTGGAGAAATTGACTTCCATTTTGTATGTTAAATTCAAGAAATTGTCCATTGTAATTAATAATCTCTAACCACATCTGCCACTAGTGGTGCAAACAGTAATTAGTTTAATACTATTTACGAAGTCTAGTGTGCTAATTATACTTGAATGTACAGCATACATTACTTTAGAGGAAAGTGGTACTTCATCTTCTATGATGCATACAGACTATTTTTGGAATTGCTGTTGCTCGAGGGATATCTTCTAATTGCTGCTGGCTGAGCATGACTGGAATCTATGAATATAAATTCCAGCACACAGCAGAACGTTGTGCTTTTTTAAAATGTTGAAGCAAGACATGTTCAAGCTTCCAGATCAATATTTAAGTATTACAGTGGGTAATAGGACACTCTTTTACTGGAGAGAAATTGAAATCCTAGGCTGAGCTTGGAAGGATGAGCCTGGATTGCTCATTTAGGTCAAGATGTTTACAAGCAGGATTTTTGGGAGTGAGGCTAGGTGAAGGCCAAAAACTTCTTGAGAGGATGCAATTTTTTTTCTTCTCTTACTGTGACATTGCTTTCAAGTCTCTAATCATAAATTAAATGCATTTCTAATAATTTAATAATAATTTAATAAAAAGTGGGGCTGTATTGAGCAAGCAAAACCAGAAAGTTTTTCATTTGAGTTCTGTTTTTAGTTTAACTAAAATGGAAATTGTTTAAACTAATGGGAATTTAAGAGCAACATCTCAGTTTCATTCCCACTTTGAGAAGAATTACTTGTTCTGGGTTTTAGTTAATGTTTGATTCACTTTTGTATTCGTACTTGTAACAAAGAAAATAAAATAAATTGTGAGGTTTTGTAGTTAAATTTCTGATGGGCATCAACCTGAAGTCAATAATTGAGGAGATTAATTTCTGTGGAGACTGACTGTATTATATATCGCAAAGTGTGATAAAGTCAATGGAAGTTAATTGACAGTGCTTAAATGAAAACCAGCAGTTAGCAGTAATTTCATTTTGCATGCAGATGTGTGCATTTCTACAAGATGTAAAGAATAGCAGTAAGTTTGACTTGGTAAAATTTTACAAAATCAGATTTTCAGGTATATAAATATGATGCTGAAGATCATTAAGAAGAGTCTGTATAAACTGGAGTGAAATATTAACTGCAGTTTCTTAAACTGTTATGAATCCAACTACTTATTTCTTCCAACTACCTAAAATGTGAACATTATCTGAATTACTAAATTCAGATACTAAGTGTTGTAATAATATTGATTTTCCAATTTTGGTTAAGATTTAGATAGCATTAACTGGAAGAATTCATGCTGACTGTATAATTTGCATCTTTCTATTTTGTGTTAAGTATGTTTATTTGCCTGAAAAGAGGACATATGCAAATTCAGAGTACTTAAAACAGTGAAGAAGCTCATGATGGCAGACGATTCCTGTGGGACTCCTTTCTATACTCCAACTAGCTTCGAAAAATTATCTGTATACTGCACATACAATCCTCTACCCAAAACATTAAAGTTGTTCTCTGGTTAAGGCCAAAGTTATCAGCAGTGATTCTCTTCCTCAAGGTTTTAAAACTTACTTTTAAAAATCAGACTAAAATGAAAGCATCTAGAACATGATGAGTTGCTTGATGGAAAGTCAAGGGAAAAGTCATATGACAGGGAAACCTACTGTTTGACAATATGAAAGTTATTAATTTCAAAAAAGATGACAACACAAGGGTTAGAAACTTCTGCAAGTGAGTGCTTTTTTCTTGATTCAGCATCAGTGTTCTTCATCCACAAGCTGTTCTAACCACTGACATCTTAATTTTGTCAGTGTAGGATGTTACTATGTGAACACATTCTAGAGAGTTTTTTCAATCACATTCCCTTTTCAAGTAGATTAAAATACTACACTGCATGTGGCTTTCTGTCTATTAAGCTAATCCAGATGACATGACAGTTATTCATGAAACCTGTTCTCTACTAATTGACATATTGAGTCAGTCAATCAGTGTTGTCTCTTCCCAGAAGTAAGAAAAAAGCCAAATCCTCAATGAAGATTTTGAAGACTTTTAAATAAAAATTACAGAAATGTCATTTTTCTTCCCAACCCATTCTAACACACATTATGTTATTTTTTCTATTACATTCTGAGAGATTACTGATGATATAAAACACTGAGGATTGTGGTTTGCTTTGAGCAAATGCTTTGAGAAGTTTGAAGGCAGGAAGAAAGATGATTGTAGGTTGGAGCATATCTCTCATGAGGAAAGGCTGAGAGAGTTGGACCTGTTTAGCCTGTAGAAGACAATTGAGAGGGAACCTCATTAATGAATATAAATATCTGAAGTGGGGTATGTCAAGAGGATGGAGCCAGGCTCTTCTCAGTAATGCTCATACCTCACTAGTCAAGTTTTCTTTGCAGAAATTATTCAACATTATGGAGACATATGTTCTGGTTCTGGATAGAATACTTGTATTTCCAAAAAGGTTTTGAAAAAGTCATGCACCAAAGACTTCAAATTCATTAGTAGCCCTTCCCTCTTACCCAAAGGCTAATCAACTTCTAACTAGTTAAAACTTACTAAGTGGAGAATAGAGATCAGTTTTTAAAAAATTAGGTATTATAAGAGTGGTGTCTTACAAAGGTTTTTTGCAAAATGTGCTGCTAATCCAGAAAAGGAAGTGAATAGGGAGATGACGAAACTGGCTGATGACACTAAATTATTCACAGTAGTGAAAATTAAAACTGACAGAGAAGTTGCAGAAGGTTTTTAGATTTGAGTGAAAGGAAAATGATGACATGCAATTCAATACTCATAAATGACAAGTAATAGACATGGGGAAAGTAATTTCTACTGTACATATGCAGTGTCCAACTCTAAACTACTTGTAACTTCTGGAAGTCTTTTGGCATTATTTTTCTATGGAAATGATAGCTTTATGCTAAGCAGTAAAGAGAAAGACAGGTAGATTATTAGAAATTACTAGTAAAGGATCAGACAAAAAAAGCAGAAAACATTGTGCCATGGTGCACTCAGCTCTGAAATACTGAATGCAGTTGTGGTCATTCAGTCTCAAAGGAAATGAAGTCTATCAAGCAAAAGTACAGCTCGATGATGCAAGGAGGGTATGAGTAGAAAAGAACTTCATATTGGAAACAAAATACTCTATAGTGTCTGACATGAATGGCATGGGAAAGATGAATTGGAAATAATCATTCATGCTTTTTGTAAAGTAAGAATATATGGGTATCAAGTTAGCTGCTTTAAAATAAGCAAGGATGTCTTCATAAGGCATAATTGAAGTGTAAGATGCAGTGCTGTAAGTATTGCACATGCTAAAAGTATAAATATATTTAAGATAGGATGGGAAAAATATATGGGAGAAAATGCTAAATGCAAAAATACAGATACAACATTAGCTTAAAGAAGTTTCTTAATTCAAGAGGTACTTTTATAAAAACTATGTGTGTGTTTTATGCTTGGTCTGTTTCTTATACTCTTCTTCTACTCCATTCCAGCTGTCAGAAACAGGATTACCAGGTTTGAGCTATGGTTTTTTTTGGTCCTGTACATATATATTATAACTGGGAGATGTGAATGTAGTGTATATGGAATCTTTAAGAATTTCACTGCTGTTTTGGGTAGGTAACAGCACAGTTATGGCAGCACAGCCTTAGTATGCCATCATTGCAGAATTATGCAGTGGTTACTTTGTGCAGCTAGGGATGATCATGAACTGAGTATCAGACTATTTAAAAGGTGTTAGGAACTCATCTAGAGCTATAATCATGTTCAACCTTAAAGAAGAATAAAGAAGAATAATTTCCTTTTTTTGTTAAGCAATCTTAGTGATAAAGAATGAGACAAAAAAAACTGTATCTGATTTATCTTCATGCATATATGAAGATGTGATTCCACAGAGATATCAGCAGCCATTCAAAAGAGGTAGAAATAAATCCTTATTTGAATATTCTTCTATTTATTTCAGTGCCAAAATACTAGTACCATTCTTCTCTATACATAAATGACAGACACATTTGCAATTTACTGGTGAATTTGTTAAAAATATTTTATGTATTGTTGCACTTCAGTTTATTTCACCATAATAATCACGTGCAAAGTTCGTACCTCATTTACAAGTTTATTTGCACATTAGTGAAAAACTGATCCAAATGGCATGAAGAGAAGATTAGGGTTGTAGAGTTAGAAGTATCTAATTTAAGGTTCATATAAAACCTTCAGCATATGCATTCTGATATGCTTTTGCATAACAAAATAATTTTCCATAGGATTAGTGCTTCATTTAGTTGATCTCTCCACCACCCTGAACTGACATGAGGCAAACACCTTCTATGGAGAACTCCTTTCTAAACAGTTTGTTTACTAAAACTGAGGTTTGTGTTAAAAAGAGTTCAGGATAAGCTACTACAGTCATTTAGGACCTAAAGAACCTTGTGTACCATAACAGTTGAAAATATATTTATCTTAGAAAAGACTTATGACTGGTTTAACTACATTCACTAATGTGTAAAAACTACTGTTAATGCTAGATTAAAGTGAAAGAAGATGATAAGTTCTAGAAATTGAAATTGCATTGTACTGTTGTATACTGTCGTCTTAATCAGTGTAAGTTTGAGTCAATGCTCCTGCTGTTGAGTGATTCATTGTATCCAGGGACTCTAGGTTGGTTCAGATAATCGAGAGCTGCTTCTTTTCCTCTTTTCTGTTTCACACTTTTAATTTACCACTTGCATGTGGTAAATTTCTCAAATTCTCAAATTCCTCATTTGAGAAACTTTGCAGTAGTTGAAATGGTTTCTTTGACTGAAAGATCTCAAGTCCAGACAATTTTTTCCTACCTCAGTGGTATGTTATAGCTGGTACATTACCATTTGTAGAACAGCTTAGAAACCTGCACTAATGGAGTTGTTGGAATTGCAGTGCTGTTTTATTATTTAACCAAAAAGACAATGAAATCTTTCAAAATCATGAAATGTTACAAAATTCACTGCATCTAGATGTATAACTTTATCTATATATGTGTATAACATTATCTATAAAGGCTATTCGTACTTGCAAGAGTAGTTTGGCTTCCATACCTCAAGCAGAATCCTTTTACTTCTTTTATTGGAAGTCTGTAACAAAAGCATTTTGTAGTAGTTTTTTCAGAAATGAAAAAAGCTAAGGTAAATTAGTTTCTTAATATCAGAGATTGATTTAACAGAGTCCACCAACCAGCAGTGAAATAGTTGCTAACTGCAGTTATTGCTGTTTAGAGGCTAACTTCAGTTAGTGATTCTTTTCATACATACTTTCAACTTCTATAGATGTTTCTTATTAGTAGCCGCATGTATCTAAGGAAGTTTTATCTTCTCATATTAATTACTGAAACAAAATAGATGGGAGATTGTAACGCAGTCTTGTTACACCAAATCCTGTCCGCGATGCAGTGAGAATCTACACAGCAATTTTCTTTGCATAAGTAAGTCCTTGGACAAGGTGTGCATCCATGATACATGTTTAAAAATTGCAGGGCTGTCCATCCATCCTCTTCCCAAAACCCAAGCATGACATGTCTAAATAAATTTTATTTTAACAGTGATTTAAGAATTAGAAACTCTCTTACAAAGAAGAAGAATAATAATACACTATTTTTGTAATTGAGCCATAGCCTAGTTTATCATCGCTTGATTTCAAATGGAGCTAAGCTGGCTAGTCCTGTTACAGATGATAGATTTGTAACAATACCCTCATGGACAATAAAAAGTTGACTGGATTATAGTTTCATAGTGCAAGTCTTTAGGAATGTAAATTTACATTTTAGTGGAAGACTGTTTATTACCAGAAGGGAAGAAGTTAAAATATTTTCAAGACTCCATATTAAGCTTAGGGATATTTCCTTAGAGGTAATACATCTTTTCTGATGTATTTTATTTCTATGCCATTCTGTTTTTCATCTGAACTCTATTCAATGATTAGTTTATGGATTAAAGCATGAGGATTAGACACTCTAATACTTTTTTTTTCTTAATATCTTACATCTGCACTGAATTCTGTACTTTAAATTAAAAGTCCCTGTCACTGAAATATACCAAGGTTACTGTTTTTCTCTGTATAAAAGTACATTAATCTCTGTAATTTTGTGGCAGTTTACTAGAGAAAAATTAACTTGGTGGCTTTATAAGACTGATTATGGCTGAATTTCCATGGTTATGCAACTCTTTTTTTAAGGACTCTAGCAGCAAAATAAACACAGATGATAGTGTATCTCTGTTCTATCTTTTTCCTCTGTGAATGATCTAAGCCACATCTTTCTAAATTCTGTTTTAGGTTGAAGACTCTATCGTCCCACCACTTGTTTCTTTGGTCCACAGTCAGAATGGTAAGTATACAGACACATCAGCTACAGTTTCCATGAATTCCACACTTTGTTTTAATTATATTTCAGTGTGGTCACATTCTTGGCACCTTTATTTTCAAGTGGAATGGAGACTCTTCAGCTTGCAGTTGCTCTCAGAAACCACATCAGTGCTTTTAAGCCACAAAGTCATGGGTGAGGAGAAAGGGGAGAGCCTCAACTCAAACAACAAGCTTCTGTCTCTCATTAGAGATTTACTGCTGCCTCAGTAAGTATAATATTGCTCCTGTAATGGGGAATAACTTGATATGCAAACCACTTTGACAGTGTATTTGTTTTAGCCATCCTTTCTATGTTTAAATGACAAAATCAAAAGGGGAATGGCAATTAACTGCTGCCAGAGTTCTTTCCCTAACATCTCCTCCTAGGTTTATTTAGTATTTTTTCATATGTAACACAACCACAACTTCTGTGTGACACTCATTTATGATACTGTGCCTCTAGCTACTTTTGGAGCAAAACAGGATTCCCTCTAGCTTCTGGGCTGTGATTTAAATACTTCTCTTTGTTCTTCTAATAAAGTCAGAACATTCTTACTACATGTTTTTTGTCTATTTTGGATATTGTACCTTTATTTAAGATGTTCTGAAAGCATATGGAATGGCATACAACTTTTTTTGAAGGAACAGTACACCATGGATTAATCCTTTATGGTCCACCCAGAAGTTCTTGCCTCTAAATTGCTGTCCTTTCTTGCTGCCCCAAGCAGCATAAAAACCCTACAGCAGAGTAGATGAAACTAGAGCCTGTAGGCCAGATGTGGCCTGGAACTTCATTTACATGCTTTATGGTCAAATGAGGCCTCTCATTTTATGCTGACTTGAAGGTGAGCATAAAGAGGGCTCTCTGTTATGCACATGTTCACTGTGAGCTGGTAACGTGTGAGTAGAGGGAAGGAACACAAGACAAGTACGGTAGTGATGAGTCATCAGTTGTATTTTACATTATTCTAACAATTCTGCAGTGTATTTTCCTCAGTGTATGTGGTCCTCAAGAGTTTATAATGGTCAATACTTAGCCCTAAGTGAGAAAATTGTTTGCCACCCCTACATTAAATAAGTGGAAAAAGGCTAAGGGAATGAATGAATGCTGGATTATGAGCAGAAACTCAGAGTCTTTTCCAAATATAAGACTTTCTCTGCTAATTGTTCTTACAATTTGTGGACCAAAGTTTTATCCATGTAAGGTGTTTAGACTTTTCTTTCTGACAGAGAATTGGATGGAAATCCTTCAGTTCTGTAGAGAAACTTACTTCAACACCTTCAAAATTTTTTCCTCTGGCAAATATAGAATGTATCAGTACAAATTAAAATGGCAACTGGAAATAGTATTTTTAAAATAGAGTATATGCATTATTAAAGGCTGTCAGATACTTTTCTTCAGATAGGGGAAGAGACCTGAAGTCAAAGGAGAAGGAGTTCTGTGCTTGCTCTGAAGCTTGGCCTTTGTAGACACGTCCATCTTATACAATGTTTTGCATTGACCAGGGGGATGTGTGCTTGGAGGGATGTGTCAGGCTAATTACAAACTAGAAGGAAAGCAGCCAATAGACTTTTGTATCCAAGTTTTCTGGCTCAATTGAGTGGAAGGGCTTTTTGCCCTGAGGCTAAATATGATCCTATTTTGGGGACTTTAGTTGTGTCATCTTAGCGTGTGCTGTGTGGCAGATATATGAAAAAGGGTCTTACAGCAGCTCAGAATCTTGAATCCAGGGTTTAAGTAATTCCTGCATCAGTTTCCCCATCTCATTAGAGATGAGAAGTAGGGGTTCTGAGAGTCAGCGTAATCTACTTGTGAAGATAGTGTAAAGTTCTACCCCAAGAAATATAGGTTATTTGAAAACTTGAAATCTCTTGAAACTGACATAGAACATTGGAGGCTGGAGAGCTTTTTGCTGATACTGTTTAGTCTTTCTGTTCCTGGGTAAGGGATGGGAAAGAATCTGACTCAGCTGGGGGACAGTCAAAAGAGGACAGGTATGTGATGGTCATTTGTTCATGGGCAGCCTGTGGAGGAAAGCAGATATTTCCACCCCTTTTAAATCTACTGAGAAGCTGTTGTCTATAAAAGGGAGTGACATCTGGTTTTAATATGGGATGTTCTTTTTAGGGAAGATTGTAATCTTAATTTGTGTGTATATTTTATTCCTGTAAATATACTTCTCAAATTAATTCATTTAAATGTAAAACTGACCCTTGAAATAGAATGTGGGTCACTATGCATGAAATATAAGTAGACTTCATTTTGAGATAAATGCAGGAGTGCAGTGATTACTGCTTTTTTCTCAACTTCTGCATCATCAATAAAATGATAATTCGGTTAAATATTTGTGCATTTATAGATCACAGTGTTAGCTTCCTCATGCAGTTTTGATTGAATGGAATGAAATAGTGTCATTAAATTTCAGTTCATTGAAAGATTATTTTCCTGAATGTTTCATAAGCAAAATAAAACCTGCAGCTATAGTCAGTGAATAGATGGCAAATGCTTTATATCCAGATTTTTTAAATCAAAAATTGAAATATCAGCTCTATTTCATTTTCACTTCTAATATTCCTACTTATCTGTCATTAAAAATTGAGCCACAAACGGCAAAAAGAGAGAATTGTGTAAATAAAGTTATATTTCATTTGAAGGTTTGTGTAGCTTGTTCTCAGTAGACTACCAAGCCAGTTCTGCAAGTATGAAATCCAGGATATTTGACATAATATTCTTTTATTAAGAGCTTAAGAGAGTCTACATCCCTAAATCTTTAGTTCCTTTTGTCAAGGTTGTTTATAGAAAAGATTGACAAAATAACTTCTTACAGTGAAGTACCTGAAGTTCACAAAACCCTTAAAAATGCCCTCTACAGCTACTGTTACTAAACTGTTCTGTATTAAGTGGCAGTGAAATAATTTGATGACTCATTCATTTAAGAAAGTATCTCAAGCATGGCATATTTTCCCTTCTGAGAAGATTCACATATTCATAGCTTCTAATGGCCTTTATTTAGTCAATGTGTTTATATTAATTGCTAAGACATTGGCTCTAGTTATCTGCGTTTTCTCATGTGGTATTTGGTTTGATGGATCACTGCACCTTCCCTTAGAAATGTCCTTTCCTAGTATTGTCTTGGGGGAGGGGAGAAGAGAGTTTCAAGGAAAATGAAATGAAGTGAGGCTTTTTTATTGAACCTCAAGAAATTAGGATGCTAAGTGTGCTAAGCAATAACACTGTCTCTCAAGTGTAATACATAGAAGGCTTAAAACTGTTAAGGTGAACCCTGTTTAGGGATCATATTGATGTGTTTATATAAACAAGTATATTGCCAAGTGGCAGATTTTTAAGCTAGCATGGCTGACTAATTTGTTACTGCTGTTAGGAATTGCAGTTTTGGAAATTTAAATCCAGGTCTTATGCAGTGAAGGATGACTTTTGGCATCTGAGTCACCTGATAGCATCTTTGATTGCCTCAGAAGATTTAGTTATGGACTCTGAAAAAAAATAAAATTGCAAGTCCCATTATGTTTTGTAGGAATATATATTGCTCATATGTAGGGCTCTTGGAATCAGTGTCTACATATATATTACAGTCTTTTCTTCTTTTATTAAGAGACTTTTTATTGACCAGTGAGAAATTGTTTTCTTTGGGGAACTGGAATCTGTTCTTCGTAAAAGAGAGAGTTTAATCACTGAAGACCTGAAGACCTGACTTCTAACTGATAATTCTGAAGATACTCTTATCTTCAGAATTATCAGTTGCAATTCTGCAGTGGCACACTGAAGTATGTAGTAGCCATGACGCATTGTCCCTAGGGTTTGTGCTTGTGTAGGAGTGTTAGCCCTTGTGAGGGAACTCCCACAGGCTACATCAAGACTGCGTGACTGGTGTGCTTGTCCCTCCTCAAGCAAACATCTCCCTCTGGATTTCCTTCCTGCACATGTTAGAGTGCTAAGGTGTGGTGCCTACAGAGCAGGGAAGAGCTAACAGATAGTAGGTATATGCTAGCATGAAGGTGGTGGGAAGTGATTCAGATTCCTCTGTTCAGACAGCACTAGGGATCTCAAGATGTGAAGTAAAATTTTCGGTGGTTTGCATGATTCCCGCTTCCTCTTACCAGAACACTACAATTTTTTTTCTTTCCATGGAAGCATTTTGTTACTCATAACATGGTAACATACCCTGTTTTCTTACAAATAATCCTTTCATTCGTTCTTGATTTATTCTTCATGGGTTTTTTTTGTTTTTTTTTTGTTTTTTTTTTTTGCAAATTAAGTGCTTTACACTTCCTATTCTATTACTTCCACATATTTGGAGTAGGACTTTGGAGTAGTTGAAATCAAAGACTGTGTTTTGACATAGCTGAGTCTGGTTTTCTATGCTTGCATCTTTCTCACTTCCATCATTGCTTCCTACTGCCATTCACATACATTTTTGTTTAAATACAGTAAAATTAGCCACATGTGTTGGGTGGGCATCACTAGAATGCTAGTAGCAACAGCCAAGTCCATTTTGTTTTTCAACAGGCTGTTTTCCCTTACCAGGGTTTCCATGAGGTGATACTTGGAAATGTTTCGAAGAGGTTTTTCTTGTTTTTTTTTTCTGACACAGCTCTCAATAAACATTGTTTTGGAGTACTTCTATATTCTTCTGGTCTGTATGACTTGAAGAATGAAGTATGCTGCAGTGAAAGCAATATTTTTTGAAATTGTAGATAAAATATAAATCTAAATCTGGGTTTTTCTCAATTTTGATAAAAATAACTGTATACAAAATATTGAGCTTAATTATATATGATATGGTTGATAATCTTCTTAAGCACTTAATAAATCTTCTACCTGATATTTTGAGGCTCATTTACTACTTGTCACTTGAAGAATAGATTTTTTTATGTATAAAATAATATAGATAAATGAATAAGTCTTGCGCATGTACGCAAGGTGACTCTTTTATAAATATATTTTACTATAATTTATAGTTATACAGCATGCATGTTTTATATCTATAACCTGCACATCTATATATGTACATATATATATGTATATATATACACACAAACATGCACAGAAGCATGTGTATACATATTTTATAATTGTGTTTCTCTCTCTAAAAATGTATTCTCTTATTAATTCTGCTTTTAGATTTAATCTGATGCTGGTTTTAAAATACTTTTTCTAAGTGAGTCTTGTTTGTTGCTTTGTACAATTTGAAACAGCCTTGTATTTCCTTTGTAGTTATAAAGTTTGGAAATGGGAAATGATGAATTTTTATTATCAGTTTTTGGTGTGTATCTCTTGATTTTTTTCGCCCCACTCACCTTGCCTTTCAGGTATGAGCACATTCTGCTGTCTCCAGACCCGGTACCAATGTATGCTCTGAAACTGCTGGTGGCCCTGACTGAGCACAGCCCTGCTTCTGTGAGGTAATACAACTACATGTTCTCTGTTGTTCTCGGTTCCTTCTGTTTCAATTTCTCCTTTCCTATTAGGGATCAGCAATAACAGATCACACTATTGTACTTCTTTGACTAGCACTATGATTTAGAAAAATCATTTGAGAGTGTTTGTTATAGAACACATCTTATATCTTTTGTGTGAATTTTTTCACGATCCTGGTTATTTTAGTCTGGATTTAGCCAATGAAATACTAGAGACAAAATCTGAAGAATTTTAACATTAAAATTATTTTTAAAAATGTGAAAAAACCCCAAACTAAACATAAAACATTATCAAAATTGTTGTTCAACTAAACATATTTGTGACTACGACAAAGGTGGTGTGTTTGTTAAATGTTTACACCAGTTAATTCACTTGAAAATGGGTCAATTCTCCTGCAAATATATCTACCCTTAAAGTTCTTAAATACAAATTTTAATTTTTGGTATAGGTAGACTCAGTATCTTTAGAAGTATCTTCATATCTCTTCCTTCTTGTTCCAAAATTTAGACTGTGATGGAGAGAAAAAAAACCTCAACTGTGTCATAAAACTTAAAGTAATAAGGAAGGATCTCTCTGTCTTCCTGGATATGCCCAAAAAATGGGTTATTCTTGTCATTGGCCATTGTCTATTTTTGATGTCTGATAGTGTTATGGCTCAGAGGTTGCTGAGTATTGTTCTGTCTTGCTTTGATTGATTGAAATGAGCACAAGAAGAAAAAAAAAAAAGGAAATTTAATTTGCTTTCCCACTTTTTATTATAAAAGATGAAACATCCTCTTTTAATCTTTTATGATACTGCTGGGAATGGTGCTTTAATATACTAGTGGACTACAAATTAAGTAAGAAATAGGGAGGCTTGAGATTTTAAATGTTTTGAATTGTATAAAACAGTTTTCATTGTAAAGAAGCTGTTTATGCTACTGTAGGATTTTATGTATTCTAAAAACAAGTACAACAGCTTTTCATTTTTAGATTTAACCCACAGATATTCTAGTACTTTAACAGTTATGAAGAATACTTCTGTAACCAGAATGCTGGTTATATTAGCAGCACATTTCCTCTCCCTACTGAATTTGCTTGATTTGAGAAATCATATGTATTTGCCATTATATATGGCACAATCTACCACTGTAGGTAGATTGTGGATGCACACTCATCCTCATGGTCATCTGGCATCACACAGGAATTTTTTTCTTAATATATTAAAGAGCAGCTGTGGATATTCAATGAACTATTAATAATTTGAAATACCAGTATGTCCAGCACTCTTATTTAAGAATTGGCTATCAGATTCCAGATTCTAACCCATCTGTAATTGTTATGTTTCCTCAAATACTTTGCAGGTCCTCTTTTACTTTCACTAAATAATTTGTTTGGCTGGGTTTCTAAAGGAGCACAGTTTAGGCAATTCCCTTAGTCTGTCTTTTTCCTTATTCTTTGGCTTCCAAATAAATTTTACAGGAAGTAGCCAATGCTTCAAAAGCACAAGAGAAGTAAATAATATATTCATATTCATACAAATGGCTGGTGAACAAAATGGAAACTAGGTCTGTGCTATAGTGAACACTATATCACAATTGGTTCTGTTTTGGTTCAATGAGTAATTAATCAGTATTCATGAAGCTCAAATTTACTCAAGACATATGCTTTCTTTTCCTCCTTTAATTAGACAGATGGAAAGTATCTGCAAAAATTGTGATTGGGAGTAAATAAATAACACTGGACACAAATCCTGTGAGATTTCATTTGTTCTTGGTGGAAAAACTCTACTGCATTGTAGTCCTGATGAGAATGATGTGAATCTCTGCATTGAGTCTCCGTGGCTTCTTCAAGCTTACATTTTATCCACAATGCCTGGTTTTCAAGGATGGATGCTTTCTCCTGCAATTTTAAATGAATGAAAGTGGTAGCAGCAAAAAGATTGAAAAATGACAAATTGTTAAATTAGTATTTACCTTGCTGTTGCAATATCTTTTGAAAGTAGTTATTAACAATATTATTTTGAAGTACAGAGTGAATTGGGAGTAGGATAAGGGCTAGTTTGTTCCATGTTTGTTTCATGTGATAGCTTGTTCTCAGACATGTTCACCTAACAAATTCTCACTTTCTTGCTCTCTCTTTATTAATTCTGCAAATTTTCTTGCATCTCACTCTTCTTACCATCAGCTCAGGATTTACCTGTGTGCTTCCTGACAGAGGCATCTGCATTTGAACAGTTCTTATTTTAGCACTTGAAAGGAGACAGATGCTCTCCTGTTTTTTTTTTGTTTCTTTTTTTTCACAGCTGATACTGTAAATTAGCTAAATTGTGATATCAGAGGAAAGACATTTCATCTTCTTCCTACTATTTTTGGACATTTCTGTTTTCTATTGCAGGTTGTTATATATAGCCTAAACACAGATATTCAAATACAGTTATGTTTTTCATGTTTTATAAGCTTATGATAAAATACTGTAGTTACAATACGTGCTTTGAATTCCTTTAACTAGCATTTTACAAGAATACAAAAAATTCTTTGTACTCTTTGCCATTGCTCCTCTGTTGAGGTAATTTTTAGCATTCTCTGTTGTGGGAGCTCTTCCATTCCATTGCTTTTCAATTTAGCAGTGAAAAACTCTAGTGATATCCCATTAGTGTGTTGCAGAATTAGATCTCTCACCAACATAAGTTCTCTCTTATATAAAATGGTAGCTGTAAAAGACCCCAGCTTTAATGTGGTTTTGTGGACACTTTTAATTATTTGGACATCTGACCATTTGAGCATCCACAGGAAGAAAATCCAGTTTCAGAAAAGGATGAGTGCTTTCTTGTCTGTTTTGACGCCTTTTACATCACACAATTGCTGTCTGATACAACCTCACTTAGAGTTTTTTACTAAGAAAATAGTAGATATTGGAAGAGTGAGCTTTGAACCAAATTTGTCCATCAGTTGCCTGTTTTATACTTGGCTCAAAGCAAATAGTCTGACTTTAAACCTTCTAGTAATATTCTGTTGTGGCTCTCCTACAAACCTATTACCTTGTCTACTTCAAGAATTTTTAGTGGTTTGTGACAAGAAAAACTGTGAATATTAAAGCCACTGTGAGAATTAATAGCAGAGTTCATATTTAGCTATAGCAAGACTGCTGATTTCAAAAGAAATCACTAATTTTAAGGATAGTTCAGGAAAGTTAATCTTCAGTGAATGATTTATTTCTGGACTACTGTAAATTTGCATTCATTTTTTCCCCCTTTGCATTTATTGCTCTTGGTGAATTGTACCTGTGTAAAGAGTTTTTGGAGGAATAGAACTTCTCACAGTGGGAGCAAATGTCTGCAACAGTCTGAGGTGAGATTTAACTATGCAAAATCTGCATTCAGAAAGAACAGTATCATGGGTAGTTTGTCCTTTTGTGTGTGTTTGCCAAATTAATGTATAGGTTATATGCATGGTAGGAAGTCAGACGTAATCTATAACGTGTTAGGGGGTTTTCTGATTCCTGTTTTGAGTCTTTTATGCTCTTTGCTGTGGTCTGTAATGATCAGATTGCTAGGTTTTTTCCTAGCAGTGAGGTTTTTTTGTGAATTTCTTAGTCTCTCTTAAAAAACTAAGAATTTTTTTAGGTATGATATACCTAAACCTATATGATGTACCAGTTCACTGCTCTAAAATGTTTTGACTGTTGTAATAGAATCTATACTGTGCCACTCCAGGCAACTTACACCGGATCATGATTCTTAAGCTGCCTTTTTGCCTTACAAAGAACCTTACGAAATGTAGCTGTGTGCTCTCTTAAGCAGCTACTTGGCCTATCTTGAGTCAGAAACTCATAGCATCTGGTGACATTTATATATCTGAAAACTAAACCTTCTAAAGTATGGAGTCTGAATTTTATGGCTTGCTAAAATAGACAATTTTGGTTTCAAGGAAGAGAGACAGTAAAGGTAGTAGAATAGAAGTGGAGGGAATATCAGATATTGCATCAGATAATGATCATGGAAGTGAACATGGAAGACACATTCCAGTATTCTATTAAGGGTATTTCCTGAGGGAGAAACACCTAACTAAAAACTAATAGTAAGGCACCCTTCTTAGATATATGATGAAGCACAGGGGACCAAATTAAGTAACCTTTCTCACCTCCTGTCCTTAAAAATAAATCTTCCAGACAAACATTATGCTGCATTAAAGAAGATGAAAAGTTATTAGAAACCAAAACAGGAAGCTGCTGAAGAGCAACAACAAAAAAATATCTGCTGCTTCTAAATGCCATAGATCTAGTACCTGTGAAGATGATAGATGGATCAGCCTCATACATTGCAGCATATTGTCCTGACTAATTAAAGTGACTGTCATAGTGTCTTTGGAACCATCCAAGAATTGTCCAAATTTCAAACTTCGTTTTTGCTACTCTTTGTACCTGTGCATTGTCGATTAAAGACCATTAAAGACACTTTTTAGGGTTGGTGTTAGGAATAAGTTGATCGTCTTTTCATACACTATTATGATCTACACCAGTGTTTAGTTGCATTTCACTATATTCTGAAATGGTCTAAATTCTTACCCTTGATTTCAAAAAACAAACAGTAAAAAACCCCAAACAAACCCCAATTAAAACCCACGCTTTTTGGAGTTCAATGTTTTTAATCATTTGTTGGTGTTGTGCATGGATTGTCTTTGAACCTGATGTAGTTTCTTTGCCATTATACTAGAGGTCTAGTGCTTTAGAGCTTTCCTTGATTAATATGGGCTCATGTTAATTGCTTTAAAATACTTTGTTCTTCTCATTAGTCATTTTAATTTCCTAGTTTAGGGTTGAAATGCTCACTTGAAAAAGTAGATCTATTTCCTTATATATTACTTCTCTGGTTTTATGTGTTGTTTTACATTCTATAATGAATATGAATAAAATAAAATGGAGTTGTTCTGATAACAGGTAAGCCTTAGGGCCTAGACCAGCTGAACTGAGCAGTAGAACTACATGTTAGAGGTGTACAACATTAGTGAGAAAATCACGATCCAGATGGATTGAGAGAGATTGCCAGAGGATTAAACTGCTTTATTAGAACTTTAGGGAATGTTTATGTAGATTTAGAACCTGATTTTAGTTTTGATTATGCTAGTTTCACGTCTATGGAAATTGAGTTGTAAAAACCCAGATTTTTCTTGTAGAGAAGTAATGCTAATATAAAACAGCAGAGAATTTTTATGATCTTGCTGTTTCTATTGTTTGGTGTAATGTTTGCATATATGCTGCTTTATTGAAAAACATCAGGCAGGCAGTCTTGCCCAGAAACAGACTCTTGAAATGTTAAGTTTTGTGTCAGCTAATAACACTGTTGTCAAGCCGCACATCATTGTAATTCATATCAAAGGCAGTGGTCAGAGTTCATTATTGCAAGGGAGTTCTCATAATTTAGTCATGTACAGACTGTAATACTAATCACCATTTTTAATGTAAAACACAACTCCTTAATGTTACATTTTATAAAAGCTCCCCTTTAGTAAAGAAATAAGCTATTAACCTTAAACCTGTAATTTTGTTTCCTTTTTCGTGTTGCTGATCAATTACTAAATGCCTAACTTGTAGAAACGTGAGAGAAATATTTGATGTTACTGTTAAGTGAATTTTTGAAAAGACTCATGTTGGAAGGTTCAAATGATGTAAAGCATTAAAAAGGAGCAAAATACCATTAATTCGTGAGTTTTTTTACTTTCAATAGTGAATTTTTTTGTTTTGTAACTATAAGTACCAAATGAGGAAGAGTCAGCTGGTTGGGTTGCTACAGCCGGAGCTGCAGACTTGAGTGAATTCAGTTCTGCCATGAATCATCTGTTCAGCACGAAACAAATCTAAACCACTGTCCAGTCCGGTCTCTTGTGTTCAATAGTAGATGCCCAGAGAAGACTACAGGAAGGAATCAAGGGTGTGGGAATATGTTCTGGAGGCATTCTCAGCCACCTCTGAGGGTTTTTTTCAGAACCTGTGTAAGATGATGTTGTGTTCTGTAGATGGTAGCTATTGAGGAGTAATCTTCATTTCATTTATGTGGACTGAAAGAAATATTTCACAAATTACTTTCAGCATAAATAGTTATTCTATAACATAACCACATGTATATAAAGATTTATCATCTTCAGTTATTTTCTTTGTATTTCTTTGTCTGATCTGATCACTTGCCATTTAATTTTATGCCATCATCTTACAGTTAAGAAGAAGCACACTGCTTCATAAATTTCTGGAATATTTTCTCCTTTAGCAGCCTTTGCAATGTGAACAGTCATGCCTATTTTTTAAGAGCCCTTAGTAGGGTTCAAAAATCTGTCATGGATTTGACATTTCATCCCTTTAAAATTAATGCCTTGGTTCTTGCTTTGTGCGTGTCCACCAGTTCTGTTCTGTGGAATAATTTCTACTCACTTTGTTCAGCTTAGAATGTCTGTAATACCCAGATTTCCACACCCTCCTATCCAACTTTTCCCTAAAGATTCTCTCTAATAACACATTTTCTGTCTTTTTAAGGTATCAAACCTGTAACAAAAAGCCTTTTGTGTTTAGTGTCCTGGAGTAGGTTTTTGTTTTTCAGGAAAGTAACTTAGGATTTCTTAAGAAAACAGATGTCACATATTGTTGGGAAACAAGACTGGAGGCACAATCTCATTCTGAAAGTTGTTAGCATATTAAAAATTCAGATTGTTCTGATAGCAAGTCTTTTAAAATCATATCACCAGTTATTTTTAGCCAGCACTGGTTATTTATGTGTAGTTTTAAATGAGATGGAAATAGTGTTGTTGTTTGCTATTATGATTTGCATATGTGTATCATGATGATTCTGTGTGTTTTCCAAACAGGGTAGCACCTAATTTAATATAAATTATGTAACAGTCTATGAAGAACCAAAATACTTTTGGTTTAGAATAACATTCTACGAAATAAATCCCATAGCTAATCTCCTCTTTCACCAGCTTTAAAACAATTCCTTTGTAAAACTATGTAAGACTGCAGTGAAGAATGTGATAAAGTCACTCTCGTGCTTGAGCACATATATGCAAAGTTGGGATAAACCAGCTTAAAACTCTGTCATAATGCGGTGCTTGATGTGACTTTATACTTTATCTAACTTATGTGTATAATTTTCTTTCAAGCCTGTATCTTTTTATTGTTTCAGTCATAAAAGGTGGTGGGTGACCTTTAAGAACAGACCTGTTGGCTCTAGTTTTGTCTTAGCTTATCTCAGCAGAAAGTATAGCTGACTTTGTAGTGCTGTAACAATCAGGACCACTTCCACTGTTGGAAAACAATTGTTTCATAATTTACCCTCTACCACAAAAGCATTTTCCTAGGTTCTGCCTAAACTAGGATTGCTTGGCTATCCTTGGTATTTGATTGTATTTTACTACTAATGTGTTCACAGTTTAAATGCTGCTTATGTAGCAAAGTGAGCAGCTTTTGCCAGGATAAGTACTTCCAATAAGCCCTAAGCATAAGTAGGCTTGTGCTGGCAAAACTTCATTTTGTCAGTATGATTGCTGTTACAGTAGCTGCTCTTTTTGGGAGTCTGTGGTGTTTGAATGACTTTCTTTATATTCAGCATTGTTATATCTACATCAGCAAAATTCTGTTTTGCAGGCATGGACTAGGCTTTTAATTTAAATAGTAGATTTGGCTCTGGAAATGAACCTCAAATATAATAAGTCCTCCTATCTGTAATCCCGGGACTCTCTTATGATCTCGCTGTGTCTAAGCTGCCATAACTGTCTTTCTAAGGGTTATTAGATGGCCCAGAGGAGATTAGCTTTCATGTTCTCCTGACCAAATAAAGTAATTTGTTTCCATTGCATATGGAAAAAAATTTCCCTCAATTTAATAAGAAGAGAAATTGTCCTTAAATTTAAGCATCTAAACTTAGAAATAATGAGTTTCTTTCCTTACCTAAACTCTTTTCCCTCTGTTGAGTGTTAATATTTCTGTGTGCAAGAAAAAAATGAACACATTTGTTTGAACAAGGCTATTACTTAGCTTTGCTAAATGTCTGTATGTGGGTGCATAAAAGGATATTGTTTTGTTATGTTTTGAACAGTTTAGTGGATGTATTTTACTTGTCTCCAGGTCTACATGCCAGTACTGTACAATGCAACAGATCTTCTTATTCCCACCTTAATTCATATAGATTCTTCATCATAAAATCATTATTACATTTCGGTAAAGGCAAAGATCAGAGAAATAGAAAAACAGTATAAAAAACTAAACCATTATTGATATGTAATGCATATATCTGCATTACTTAGAAGTAATTCTGAGTTATTCATAGATACTGTTGTTCTCTAAGCATGGGTTTAATTCCTTATTATATTTCTTTTACAAGACATGATTCCTGCAAATATGAACAACCAGAGCTCTTACAGGTGACATTAATCTAAATGAAGCATTTCTTTTATAACCTTTGGATGTCTGTTCTAGCCCTCTCTGATTTTTTTCTTTAAGTTCATAGAGGAGAATGTGAAATTCCTTTTAGCCGCTTCAGTTCACAATCTAGTATTTTAGCTTATACTATCTATAAAATAACACATTCTCCTCTTATCTTATTGAACATGAATCAAAACTCTTAAATGGAACTATGTGATTCTAGGTGTATATGAGTTCTTTTTAACAAATAGCTTACCAAACAGAATTATTGTTTTACCAGAAGCCAATATAGAGTTTTACACAGTAAAGCTTCAAACATGAAATTATTTTAGTCAAATATAACTGCAGTTTATTCACAGTGAACTGTGTAATATGACTTGGTATTTTTAGCTGGCATATTGCTGGCAAGACGATTTTGTAGAGTGTTGTACACTGAGATCCCAGACATGCTCTCTGTGTTTGAGTTCTGAATTTATCACATGGGCTTCTTAATGCAGTCTTATCTTTGCTGTGTCACAAAGCCAAACCTATCAATTGTTTATTAAGCACTTCTGTGATATTATGGTGACACAAGAAGAAATTTTTGAGACACAGAATTTGGTGTTTTCTGAAGTGTTTGTGAATAGGCATTTAGTGTAGTGTGTAAGAAAAGGTGACAATCGTTCTTTTAATTAGACAATATAATACAGTAAAAAGCAGTAAAATATAATACAGTTAATAATGTGACTCATATGTCATGGTAGTGTGTGAGACACACATGCTTTACTGATACTTTTAGTAAGTACAATACTTTTAGTATTTTGTGCTCCAACAATAGAAAACACTGCATTAATGTAAAATATTACTGATTTTTGAGAATATTCTTTCGTTAAACATATATATGCTGGGCTTTATCTAGTTTTGAAATACAAAAGAATATAGGTGACTTCTTTTGGGCCACTACTGCTCAGCATTGTCAAGTATCTGACGAAAGTATCATATATAAGTATGTTAAACCCAAGAAATTAGTTAACATGGCATTCTTAAAAAAACACATCATATTTATAATTTCGTTATGTTTGCTGAGTCTATTCAAACGGTTAATGGTGCACTCTGTTTCATAGTATGTATAGTGGTATAGTTGTGGCATTTTATTAATTACTGCCATTAAAAAATGCTAAATTAATTACTGTTCTACTCGCTCAAATTGCATCAGTAAAGCAGACCTAGAAGTAATTTCCAAAGCAGTATATAACAAAGCAGTATATAACGGTGCTGTTTCTGTTTAATGTGTGAAATGGAGGTCATTTTGTTGAGAGCTAGTCAAAGGCTAAGATTCTGGGTCATGGATCTTGGCAACAGCTACTCTACTACTCTGTTCCTCTTGTGAGTTTAGCGTGTTAAATAAGAATTCAGTTCCTCTGTTATTAAATAAATCTTAAAATATGTTTTTACAGCTTCATGGAAGAAGTCCATCTTTTTCCAGTTCTTTTTCAAGTCATCTCGGTAAGAATATTTTTTAATATAGATATATATTCTAATAGATAGATATCCTATCTCCCAAATCATATCTAACTAGTAAGTTTCATATTGGCAATACTGATAAAATAAAATCAAATGGAACAGTCTAACAAAACAAAAGAATCTAGAGTAGCAGACATTTAGGAGGGTTATGCCAACTAGTCCACCTGTATAAGAAGTTTATTCAAGATAAGTACTTTTTTCTTTCTTGAATCAAAGTACCTCCTAAAAGTAGAATTAATGAGCTTGATTCTTAAGTAGAACTATGTATTTGCAGAGTCCATACAAGAAATGCTGAGGAAGTTGCATTTCGTTTAATAGCACCAAATACAAATTTGATACTGTTAGCATGGTAGTCTGAAATTGCACTATTTGCTTTTAGAATTTCTTTCAATATTAAGTGTCAAGGATATGATTTTGGGATAGTCACACGTGGAACCTCCACCTCTAAATAGATTCTGCCACTTATAAAGGTCATGAAAACTGTTGGTTTTGTTTCTCTGAAATGTTGCAAAACAAATATGTTAATGAAGAAGAGAGATATTTAGGCTAGTTTGGAAGCTGGGTACTGTGCTATCCATTGGCCTTCTCATTGTTAAATTCCAGTTTCTTGTTAATTTTTTAAATTTCTAAGGTCATGAAGTTGTATCAGGTAAGTGTCCTGTCTTGTAAGCATGCTCCTGATGAATACGATATATGCATTATAAGTAAATACACATAATTTATGTAGTGCAGGCAGATTGCATACTTGCTTTTGTATAATTCTTAAAATTCAGGCTTATTCTGAATTCTGAGGGTAGATGAAGTTCATAAATGGGATTCTGAATTAACTTTGGTATTCCTTTCTTAAGTTTCAGTATTTTAATCTTCACTCTTCCTTTGCGGTGATTTATTTTACCACCTATCATTTTGAATCTTTTTAATACTGCATACCCAGATGAGCCATTTTTTATTAAAGTAACCTTGTTAGTGATGATAGATTTTTCCAGCAGCATACAGAACACAGGCTTTATGATATTTTGTGTACATATATCTACAAATCTGGTTTTTGTGATAAGTATTGAGAATAAAACCATACATTTTACTGCAGCTCATAGATAGCTTTTACCTAGGATGACTACTAATTTTAGGTATTAATAAAAGAAGAACTCAGTAAAATATGGAAGTCAAATGTTTCATATTAATATCCTTAAATATTTAGTTAATATTTGAAATGTCTTCAGGTGCTAGAATCTTGAAATTTAAATATATATGTTAGTCTATAGCTATGATCATTTGAACATGGTAATAATCTCTCAAAATACTCCAGGTATTGAAAATTTTTGTATAATGTATCTGTAGTCATGGAATTTAAAATGTGTTTATGTCATACCATGTAAGTAGGACAAGCTGTAGTCAGTTATAAATGCTCTCTCCTTACCTCCCCACATACAGTTTGACCTCAGGAGTCCTAGAAATAGTTCAGTGGTTTTTTAGGGAGTAAAGCAGTTTAGTTCTAAATTGTCTGCATGACTAGTGGTGTCTCAAGGTTTCACAGCTCCTTGAACCGCTATGGCTGTCTTTGAGCCTATGGTTGGAGTTGGGCAGAAATTGTGTAGCTTTTAGGGAGAAAAAATTTCCCCTTTCAACATATGTTGTTCAGAGAGAACACTGTAATTAATTGCTTCAGTTGCCACATATAACATTTGAGCTTTAACGGTGCAGTGGTGTTGCAGCTTGTGTTTATTTTATTTAGTTTTTAAATGGTATGTTCTGTTATCCCCCATGTTTTCTCCAAGTTGGTTTCTCCCTTAAGTTGTACTCTCCTTCCCAGCTGTTCCTCAAGGTATCCCCTCCCCTTGTTCCAGACCTGTCCCTGCCTATCAAGGCAACCCTGCCCCTTGTTCTGGAACATTCCCTGCTACTCATCATTTGGACCAATCCCCAACCAAGACTTCTCTCCTCCCCCTGTCCCTTTGGTCATTGCCCCAAACGCCCACCTCGAGTGTTCTCCTATTGGTTATCCAGTTGTATCCAACCCCCCATTTCTGGATGCTTTGAAATCCCCTGTGCTGAGGTGTTTGGGGCTCTCTCTGTGTCCTGGCCCCTCTGATGTCAATAAACCAGTTGGAACTTCAAGACCTGGAGAGTCTCCTCTGCCTTCTGTACCCAGTCCGCGCCTTGCCACCTTGGAGCACTGCTTCTCGGGTTAGAGCTGTGACAGCTCTTAGGTTCTGTCCGTGGCTTCACCCCAGCCAGGGAAGTTCTTCACTCTTGTCACTGCTCCAGAACAACAGAAAGCTAGTCTGGGCTCCAGTAGGCGGTGGCACACTGGCTGTGAGCTGTGGTCTCATTTGGATCAAGGGATGTGAGATGTAACACCAGAAGCAGCAAAGGAAGGTGGTAACCCCTTCCTCTGTTTTTCCTACAGAAAACTAAATTCAGCAAAGGAATGATAGGCAGTTGGGAAAACTCAGGAGCCAGGACTAAATCAGACTGGAAGGATTAATCATTTGACTGCTTTTCTTTCGAACAGAATAGATTGAACAGGACAGATTAGTAAACTTCTTCATTACAGGTTTCTGAAGTATTTTGCAGTCGTACAGGTGAAGAGAGTTGCATATCATTTAATTCCCATTATTCTCTAAAAAATAGTCTTTGTCTAGGTTTATACATTTATCAGTTTCAAGGATCAGCATAAATAGTAATGTTGAGATCTGTGTTATTATACCTAGTCCTTTACTGGACCCTAAACTATTGAATTATCCTTCAGAGTTAATACTCTATTTTATTCTGACAGTAATTTCATGTAGAGCTATTACTATCTAGTCCATGGTTTATTACTAGTACTTAATAATTTCTATGCTAAGACTTCCTATCCAATGTGTACTTTCTGTGTCTCATTAAATATAGTTCATGTTATTTTCTGCAATGCAACTGACAGTACATTGATTCTCTTAGACTCTGAAGGGAAATACTGTGGGTTTAAAATTGAAAAATCATTTCCAGGAGCAGTCTTTGTTTCTAGGCTGTGCTGCAATCCAAGTGGGATTGAATGTACTAGCTTTAATCTAGGTAGCACAGTAGCAAGGACATGATGGCTTGCAGATACTGAGCAGTTCACAAGAAATAAGTTTTAATATGACTACTTTTCACTGCTCATCAGTGTAGCCTTATATTATCTCTTATACTGGACACTACCCAATGTTGTGGTCTGAGCATTAACACTGAGATTTGGCAAGTTTTTTTATCCTCTGTCATCTCTCTGGACCATTTAGATCTCTAAATTAATCATATGAAAAGTATCCTTTCATATGAAAAGTATGAAAAAATGATACTAAGCATATGAAAAGTATCCTTTCATGTCACTTATGACTACAATTTTGTAAATGTTACAGCTTCCAAGCAAAAACAACTGGATCAGTAAAAAAAATCTGTTATTGTCTACCTAAATAGTTGTTCTAAGAGAATAGCCATAATTTATCTTCACCTGAACTGAGGTTTATTCACTGAGTTAATTAGTAAGAGGCTTTAAATAGAGTTCCAGTTCCCCTGGAAACCCTCTGCACTTGTTCATCTCTCAACACTCAGTTGCATTTAGGAAGTGCACATTTATGATGTGGTTAGTATGTGAAAAACCTGCATACGGTTCTTCATTACAGAACTTCAGGGGTGAATTTCATGGTTTACCTGAATGCAAATTAATTTCACGAGTGCCATGATCCCAGATCCTGGTGCTAGAGGTTACATAGATTATGACTAATCCTACAAAGCAATATGAAGGTGTGACTGCATTATGAGTAGACCTCAATCTTGCAATAATGTCTAATGTAATCAGTGAAAATGTAGTGATGTGTGTGTGGAAAAATGGAGATATATTGACAATTTACAAGTATTTTCAGGACAGTAAGGGATTGAAAAGCAGAAGGAAAGCTGACATTATAATGTGAAAAAATTAAAAGGTATGAACTCCCCTTGGTAGCAAGATTAATTGTAATGAGCTAAATTCCAAGGTTATGTAAATAATGCCAAAACTTGGGTTGATATAAAGTATCAATATGAAATGCTGCTGTTGATGAAGAAGGGGTTGTAGCAGGAAAAGTTACTGTGGGATATACTTAATGCTGTTTTTTCTTGCTGCCTTTTACTGCTACATCCTTAGTATTTTGTTTCTAATATATTTTGTAATGTCATATCTATGTCGTCTGCCTTCAATATCAGTTTATAATTTACAAAGTATTGATTTTTATTATTATGTTATAATGCTAGAATGAGGTTGATAAAGGATTTGGAAGTGTTTACTGCCATTTTTGTAAATTATGGCTATGTGTATTTTAGATTGCTAGCAAGATTTTGCTGAGTAGCAAGCAATGAAGTTGACATAAATGTTATTTTCTGTATTATGTTACTTTTAAAAGGGTAACATAAAAAAATACTGCCTTCATTTAGTGTTACCTCAATGTAAGCTGTTGCATAGAAAAGAAATTCTGTGTAGTTGGTGAAATTCTGTTTTTTGCTACCAAGTTTTAAAACTCAAGTTAATGATGCTTGTGATTAGGAGCTCAGTGCTACTCTGTTTTTAAAGCCCAGTAGTCAATTCTGTGCTTATCCTATTAAAAGTTCTGGTGTAGCTTTTAGTCACACCAGCATATTATCACAGCCATTCGTTTTTGCAGTAATTTTTTTCTTTTTGCATATTGCTGTATCTTAACAGCCAGTTAAAGGCATATTCTTTCAATAAAAATTATTTTAGAGTAAGATTAAATATTGCTGTTTAAAAATTATATTATTAGATACAATCTATAGTAGATAGCATGTTCCTGTCTAAACAGCAGAGGCTATTCAAATACTGTGGTTGTTTTATTTATACTGTCATTCTATTCTTAACAAAATTAAGTCTGTTTGCATTAATGAAATAATTAAAGTTAATTTGAAAATTGCATATTTTAAATTATTTTCCTTCAAATACTGTGGAAAGGTTTTAGTATGAAAATACAAAATAAATT